TCGAATAAATTACTGATTACGTACTTCGCAGCAAGTCGTTGAGCTCAGTGTTAGCATAAAATTTAGTTAACCGTCATTTTAGTGTATACATAATCATTTCTTACTAGATATTGGTAATTATGATTCTAATGAAGCAATAAGTACAGGGGGTGGACAATGCAACAAACACCTGGTTTTAGACGCGATAATTTATTAGTATGGTGCAGGGCCGCCTCCTGCGGCCAGTACAGAATTAGTTTGTCTTAGGAACGACAGATAAAAGTCCTGAGCCATTCCTCTTGCAGAACAGTGGGCAAGTCACTACGTGATCCTGGTGAAAGAGTTTCCTGACTCGCTCCTCCACAACACTCAAAAGTGGCTCAATAGTATTCAAATCTGGTGACTCTGCAGGCCATGGGAGATGTTTTGCTGTGTGCACTGGTGCATTATCATCCTGATATACAGCACCATCTTCAGGGTACAATGTTTGAACCACTGGGTGACCATGGTCCTCCAGAATGCTTCTGTAGTCCTTGGCAGTGACGCACTAATCTAGAACAAGTAGTGGCCCTAGGGAATGGCATGATATTGCAGCCCAAGCCATCACTGATCCACACTTCGTGCTGCACTCGGGGTATGCAACAGTCTGGGTGAGGAGCCTATTTGGGGCTTCTCCACACCCAACCACAGACATGGGAAAGACAGTGAAGGTGGACTCATCAGAGAAAAATACAGGTTTCACATTGTCCACAGCCCAAGATTTGAGCTGCTGGCACCACTGACACGGACGCTTGGCATTGGCACCAGTGACCAAATATTTAGCTATAGCAGTCCGACCATGAATATTGACCCGTGGAGCTCCTGACAAACAGTTTTGGTGGAAACAGGAGAGTCTAGGTGTGCATTTAGTTCTGCAGCGAGACGGGCAGCTATGGCTTTATGTTTTTTGGGTACAATCCAGGTTAGTGCCCGGACATCCCTTTCAGACAGCTTCCTCTTGCGTTCACAGTTACTCCTGTTGGATGTGGTGCATTGCAATGGTACGCTGACATTTCCCTGGATACTGCGACTCTCAATACGACACAAAGGTTTGCTGACCTGGTCACAGATGCTCCACCAACAATTTGTCCCCTTTTGATTTCTGATATGTCTTCCATTATGTGGATTGCAGTTTCATTGTCCAACCCGTGTAGGTTTGCTATAGTAAAAACAGACATGGGAACTTGTCGCTACTTACCTGTTTGATTAATTAATGTACTCATACATTGATCTGATATTCATTTATCATTAATGAATTGTTTCAGATCAGTTATTTAAACCAGTTAATATATCTTTTAGTATATGTGTTAAATAAAACTTTGTGATCTACTGAAGGAACAAATAATGAATAACACAAAAAGTTAAATACCAATCTCTTGTTTATTTGTCATTAATGAATCATAACACATCTTTTATCTCTTGTTCATGATTTGTACTTGGTAAGAGTTACTAAGGAACCAAACTGTAAAGTGTTACCATTCATTTTTATTTCATTGTCTCATTTTCATCAATTAAAAATCATCTTAGACAAATAATTATCGCCATACTTTTCATCGGCGAAATTAACGCTGCTTGCAGCAGCCCTGATCCCATTGATGTTGCTCAATCGACCTGAATTTATGGAGACATTTTGTCTCCAATGTTTGTGTTCAGTAGGGGGAGCCAAATACCAACGCTGAATCCTCACACACAGCAGTATCCACCAGAAGTGAACTAGTGAACTCCAAATAGTCTTGTGTAAGTTCTGATGAAATATGGTGCATTCAAGCAACAGTAAGCCTCAGTCTTGCAGGCTCTTTGACGGGTACATGCTTCTCGGACCTGTCAAAGGGAATAAACACCTGATCCCCTTGTCCCCCGTGCTGTTTTGCTTCCATATTCTGGACTTTCCTTTGAGTGCCATCAGCCATTTTTAAGCACTGTGTATAAGCCCTGCGTGCTGTAAAGCAAGTAAACAAGAGCAGACTGAGGAAATATCATGAGGTTGTAGAGGGGAAATGGGACTTCTGCAGCCCCGGTACGGTCTGGCGGCTTGGCGCGTCTCCACCCACTGCTGACTTCTGACACTGACTTTGCGGGGGAGCAGTGTACCAGGCAACACTGGCTAGAGGCCACCTGCGGGGACCGGGCTGAGCCGGTTAGATGTGTAATACCCCGGTGCTGCTGTGGGAGGAGCCATTGCGCAGTTTCAGGATGGCCGTCTGTGACACTGCTTGTGCAGCGGTGTTAGGGGTTCTGTCATTGCATGAGAGCGCTCGCACCAGTCGGTGCAAGAGTGTCGCATCACATGCGTCATGTAGTCACTGCATGGTAAGGCCAGCTTCGCTTTGCCCTTGTACAGCCCCCGTTTCCTGCAGCTCATTCAAGCCCCTCTTCTGAGTCAAAATGGTACAGGGCAGACCCCCCCCCCCCCTTCCCCTCAGCTGCTGTTTAGGTGTCTCATGGTGGTCGTCCCTGTAACTGAGCCCGGCCTGTTGTGTGCAAGATCAAGGCCGGTCAGGACGACGGATGGGGGCCCACGTACAGAAACTTGTGGCTGCGGACGTGCCAATATGGCCGTCATTTTTCCAGATTGTCGGCACGGCAAGAAGTGCAAACAGGAAATGAGCCGCTGCAGCTTACCCTGAGTTTCACCGAGAACAAGAAGGTTGTTACGCTGTGGGAGAGAATCGCCAGCGGCACAGTGGCCTCTTGGAGATCCAGAGGTGGGAAACGTGGGTCGTTCGGTGTTTCTTTTGCACCAAGCACGGTCAACAAGCTCTGAGCTCAGAGTGCTTATCTGCCCTGCCTGTTTTTGAAGCTGGGATAAATGTAACCGACACCTCTCCCAGTCCAACTAACAGGTGTCAGTTTGTGGCACATAGTCTGATAGGAGGAAGGTGGCAGGGCACCAAACCACTCAGCTTTTCAGTTACTGATATTTTCACAAATTGCACATGCTGCACTGTCTCTCAGTTAGGAGTTAGTACCGAACAGACCATAGAGATCTTCTGAGCTGAATCTGTTCAGCCTCGAGCAAAGGAGACTAAGGGGGGACATGATCCAGGTATATAAGATTCTAACAGGTCTGGATGCTGTTAAGCCAAATGGCCACTTTAATATTAGTTCAAAAACAAGAACTCGTGGCCATAGGTAGAAATTAGCGGGAGAACATTTTAGACTGGGTTTGAGAAAGCAATTCTATATACTTCTATATTTAGAGTATGGAATAGTAGTCCTGTTAGTGTAGTGCAAGCTAAAACCCTGGGTTCCTTTAAATCAGAGCTAGATGAGATAGATAAGACAACTCTGAGCTATTAGTTAAGTTCTCCCCAAACAAGCTTGATGGGCCAAATGGCCTCCTCTCATTTGTAAATTTCTCATGTTCTTTTGTTCTTAAAGCATCTACACACATCCCCCCACCCCCAAAATAAAAAAACAACAGGGCCCTAGTTACTGATAAAACTTCAAAGTGGGGTATTATTATTTTGGTGCTGACAGACAGGACGGGGGCCACCTTAATGCCTTATTATCTGTTGATTCCCTTGAAGTGATCAGCTGGTGTCTGATGGCTGCTCGCCATGGTGCCTACACTAACACTGGCCCGGTGTGCTGCTGCCTTTTCTGTGCTATGCGAAGCAGCCGCCACAAGCGCGACAGGAAAGCCGCAGCGGCCCCACGCTGATTTCCAGCCAGCCCAACTTCTGGCCAGACCTTTGGTTTAGATGGCGTCTACAGGGGTGCATAGGGGTCTGGGTCTGAGTCTGGGTCTGGCGTGGCTCCTGGCAGGGCTGGACTTGGATTAAAAATCAGCCCTGAACTTTGAGGTTCCCCACAATGAATCGTGCAGAGCGTCTGGGGATGGGGGGGTGATCCACTTTCAGATGTCCAGTCCAGGGCTGGAGCCCAGTGTCAGACTTTGCTGGATTTTTCTCCTTCGTCGGCGCGAGGTTTTGGAGAATTGTTGATGCTTCCATGTCCCACTCTCGCCAGTGTGGGGAAGCAATAAAAAAGGCCAATAGAATGTTGGGTTATATCTCTAGGTGTGTGGAGTTTAAGTCAAGGGAGGTGATGTTACATTTATATAATTCCTTGGTAAGACCCCACCTAGAATACTGTGTGCAGGTTTGGTTACCATACCTTAAGAAGAACATTGCTGCCTTAGAAAAGGTGCAACGGAGGGCTACGAGAATGATTCCTGGTCTTGGAGGAATGTCTTATGAGGAGAGGTTAGCTGAGGTGAATCTGTTTAGCCTCGAGCAAAGGAGACTAAGGGGGGACATGATCCAGGTCTATAAGATTCTAACGGGTCTGGATGCTGTTCAGCCAAATGCCTATTTCAGTATTAGTTTAAATACTAGAACTCGTGGCCATAAGTGGAAATTAGCGGGAGAACATTTTAAAACGAATTCGAGGAAGCACTTCTTTACACAGCGTGTAGTTAGAGTATGGAATAGTCTTCCTGTTAGTGTAGCACAAGCTAAAACCCTGGGTTCCTTCAATCAGAGCTGGATAAGATTTTAACAACTCTGAGCTATTAGTTAAGTTCTCCCCAGACGAGCTTGATGGGCCGAATGGCCTCCTCTCGTTTGTAAATTTCTTATGTTCTTATGTTCTTATGTTCTAACACTGACAGACATGATGACCCAAGAAGAGTTGCATTTCCGTGGTGCCCACAGCACACTGCGGAATCGCGTAAAAGACCTCGTAGCTGCCGGCTTTAGAGTCTGTAACGCGCCGCTGTTTGTGCTTCTGGCTTCCTGTGCCGCGTCACCAAAAGAGGAACACTGGCGACTAGGCTGACGTGCGAGTGCCGAATCCAGGACCCCATGTGACCTCTTTTCATTCGCCAAACATTTACACCTGTGTATGAGTAACTAAACATGAAACTGCGTCCTGTTTTTACAAATAGACACGGTGCTTTTACACAGCGCTGTACCATACACGTCTCTGTGAACACAGACAGTATTCACACTTGGAATACCCCCCCCATACACAGGCAAATGGCACTGGGGGGGGGGGGGGGGCTTCATTTTTAGGCAAAAAAACAAAGCCATTATGCCATGTGAAAAATGATGGCTCAGCGGACTGGCAACTATCTAAAATGTTTTACACCACGTATCACCTCAGAAGGTTCTCCACATGCTACCATTATGACATTATGCTTGAACAATTTTATTATTTTCATGCAGGAGGATTGTTGTTTGACATTGCTTGCTGCACGGTGAGTTGTTGCAGAATGCCACTGGTAGCAGTTTCCTTACACTCTTTCTTATATGCAGTTTTTGGATATTTAATTAGATTCCATGTGTTATATGAACTTGTTTTCATACCTCTTGATATTTTAGCAGAGCACAGGTTGCAGTCCCCACTGTACTTTGGTTTTTGTCATTAAATTTGTCGTACTTTTACACTGCAGACGTTTTTGTTGTCCCGTTTATTTTGCTTGTTAACAAAATCGCTGATATGTCATTGCATGACATCAGATTTTTTCATGATTATAAGTACAAGTACATCAGCCACTATAGTATCAGACTATCGATTCACCCCTTTTTTCATCATAGTCTCCTCTGTATTTTTTGCATGATAAGGAATGGAGACCGTTCAAGTGGACTGATAAAAGGATTTGCTGCCAAAGGCCTAAAACAAACCCAAGTTGATGGGATATACCATCCAAATGACAGGATGAGGGTGAAATGAGCCAAATCCATTTTGTTCCAAGGAGGCTGTGATTAAGTATGTTATACTCACACGTATAGCTAAAATATACACCAAAGCAGAGCCCAGTGTCTGAAGAGGCCAAAGCGACATTATAACTCTTCACAAGGTGTCATACGGGACCAGAACCCCGAAACCTCTTAATCACAGGCAGATCCTGGCAAAGGCAAAATGGGTAACTGTCCAGTGTACTGACTTAGCAAACCGCACCCCCCCCCTCCCCTGCAACCCCCTAGGAGGAACTGTCAGAGAAAGTGAGACTGGGAGATGAAGGGGGGGGGCGCATGGTGAATCCTGCCTAGGGCATTACGTGGACTTCAACCAGCACTGCTCTTTAACAACAAGCCTGGTCCCTTTAATGCAATGCTAGCAAAGGCGTCCCACATTGGCCAATCAAGTCAGCTGGGATTAATAATAAATGGGTGATTGTGCTATAATTTATCATCTATTATGTGAGGAAAATCAGGATTACTAGTTCATCAGGGGAATCTTGTTTGGCCCCATTTCCTGTATTCATATAAACAATCGAGTTTTAGAAGGATTTTCTGTGCCTGTGAAAAAAGACGGTCGAAGTTTGAAGCCCCTATCCAAAACAGAAAGATTAAGTGCTATGTATGTTTTGTTTGAATAATATATACATCAGAAAATGAAATCTCTGGAGGAACATTCTGAAAGGGGTTGTTAAGAAAAGTGCATTTTATAAATGTTGCCTAGATACATAAATAATGGTTCTTTTATTTATTATTTAGTGTTTTTTTTTGGGGGGGGGGGCTTGCATGAGTAATGCAGGGTGTGGGAGGTTGGAAGGTGTCATCCGTCACTGTAGCTGCACACGTTATCTAAAGCAATACGGACTCTAAGGATGCCTTCTTTAAATGGACTCCATTAATTAAAAGCACATGCTGTGGGGAGACGGCAGCTGAGTGGCGCCCCCCGGAGGCCTCCGTTGTTCTTCCTGATTTCCCAGAATATGTCATTAACTCTGTTTTGACAACTCCTGCCCCTAAAACACCCTTAGAGAGGGANGGGGGGGGGGGGGGGTCACGCACTCATTCCAAGTTGGTCTCTTTCGCTTTGATTCCTCGTATGCTAGTTTCACGGGGAATCTTAAGGAAGTGAGCCTGCATCAACACCTAACATGTTTGGCGTTACGCTTTAAAAATTACTACAAAGAATGCCTACAAATATCATACATTGGACAATTAAATAAGTAACTGGGGTAAACTGGAATAAAGTTCCGCGATGTCTAAAATTTGGAAGCGTTTCCACAGTTTTAGCCGCTAGTGTCTGCACTTTTTGAAGATGGTGACGTTTTACTACAGATGGAATATTCCCATTCTCCTGCCTACTGATAGCATGTGACATGTAATTAACCAATGAAAAGATGTCTCATGAAGTCATCCATTTAACTAGCATTTACGTTTGTGCTACTTAATACTTGTATTCATGATTCGAATGGATTGAATAGACTGTATGGATTACATTTATATTGCTAATTTTTACAACTTAACATTGATAGCTAGCTAGTTAGCTAACTAACATGATTGTTAATTGTGAATATGAAGTGTGATTAGTTTGTATCTGTGATGTGCCACTGTAATCACGGGCTGACCTTTCTTTGTTGCCATTTTCTTTTATTATGAGCTCACCCGTTGACTCATTGTCTATTGATACAATAGAAGCTGCATGAGCTACAGTATCCTCCATTATGACCTAAATGCCCACACAATATTAAATAAGTGAAAAAATAGCTTCTTTTTCCCCCACCCCTCTCCCTTGGCAAATGTCACAGTAATTAGTCCATCTATCAAATCTCACAATATAATCCAAATGCCATGACAGGTTGGTCCGTGAAGATTAAAGTCGTCCTTCTGAGGTCTGACCTTCTTCCTTTGCCGGCTGTGACTCCGTGGCACGTAAATCAGTCGCTCTTGTGTACCACGGGGACGTGTCAGTCCTCCGGCGGGCTAACATGACGGGCCCTCAGTCACACCCCCGCGTGCTACGACCTGAGCACCGCCTCCTCGCTCATGCAGGAGATCCTGCGCAGCGGGAAGCTCTCCTGCAGCTCCTGCCTGGACAGCCTGCGCTTGAACTCGTCGGTGGTGAAGTAGTACATGATAGGGTCCAGGCAGGAGTTGAGGCTGGCCAGGCAGAGGGTGACCGGGTGGCAGCGGCGGATGAAGTCCTGGAAGGCGCAGTTCTTCACAGCGTTGGCCTTCGCCAGGAAGTCCAGCGGAAAGGTAAGGTGGTAGGGGGCGAAGCAGACCAGGAAGACGGCGGCACAGCTCAGCACCATCTTCAGGGCCTTGCGCTTCTCGCCGCTGTCCTGCAGCACCACGTTCTTCTCGCGCAGGCTGGCTACCATGTGCCACGAGCAGGTGAGCACCAGGCCCAGTGGCAGCAGGAAACCCAGCAGCTCTGCCATGCAGATGAGCACCACGCCAGTGCCTGGCATCAGGTCCATCATGGGCAGCTCCGCAAAGCAGCTCTCTGAGTCCGGTCCAGGGTTCTTCCGCAGCAGCGGGAAAGGCAGGCAGCCCAGGAAGACCACCACCCAGCCGGCTACGCAAAGGCCGCGGTCCAGCCGGCGGCTGGAGGAGCTGTAACGCAGCGGGTAGATGATCAGCATGCATCGGCGCACACTGATGCAGGCCAGGAAATAGATGCTGGCATACATGTTGACATACTTCAGGTAGAAGCAGACGATGCAGAGGAAGTGCCCGAACGCCCAGGACTTGTTCAGGTAGTAGTAGATCCTCAATGGTAGCGAGAGGACCTGGAGCAGGTCCGCCACGGCCAGGTTGATCATGAAGATCACCGCCTTCTTGGTCTCCTTCACGTAGGCATGGAACACCCACAGGGCCAGCACATTGCCGATGAGCCCGGGTACCAGGATCACCGTGTAGATCACCGCATACGTGAAGTGCTGGTAGTTCTTCAGCTCGTCCATGTTCCCACACTTGCTCATGTTGTCGCTGTCATTCATTTTTCGGCTCAGCGACCAAGTCCAAGAAGCCAACTCCCTTGGGGGTGTCAAGCTTCTTGACTGTTTTTGTCCTCTAAAGTCCTGAATGGAGTCGAAGCGATAATCCAAGATGGAGTAAGACTCGTAACATCCTCTGGAGGTTATGATACCCTCTGAGAAGAAACCTGGATTCCTTCGAGGAGTTGTCTAAAAACCTTCATGATTGTGAGATGTTTGTCCAGCCTACTGTTCCATATCCTCCATACTTATACTAGTCAGGTCATGTCTGTCAGGAAAAACACTATAACCTTCTCAGCATCCAAACAGAAGGGGATGTTCTCCACCCTCAGTTTTCATGAAGATGGTGGTAGATGGTGGCATCAGGGCACAGGATGAGGGCGCTGCTCTCCAGTCTCTGTCAGCGAAGGGTGGAAGGCAACGTGCTCGGTGTGTAAGTTCCTGGAAGATAAACCAGTGATTAAAAGCTGTGACTTCATCCTGTGTTCTAGGAAATATCCTCAACACTGTCTATGCAAGATACTTGAAAATCATGTAACGGGTTCATTCATTTTGTGGATTACGGATTCCTTACATCCTGTTGAAATCCTTTAGTGGAGTGTATCCCAACCTGTCCTCAGGGACCCACAGACAGTCCATGTTTTTGCTCCCTCCCAGCTCCCTGCCAGACGGTCCATGTTTTTGCTCCCTCCCAGCTCCCTGCCAGACGGTCCATGTTTTTGCTCCCTCCCAGCTCCCCGTCAGACAGTCCATCTTTTTGCTCCCTCCCAGCTCCCTGCCAGACAGTCCATGTTTTTGCTCCCTCCCAGCTCCCTGTCAGATTGTCTGCTGGCCCTCAACAATCGGATTAGGAAACACTGCTTCAATGTTTCAATGCATCTATACAGGCACAAGGGCCCGCTCCAGATATGTGGCCTAACAGTAACAACAACAACATTAAACTGGATACTGTTTCATATGTACATGGCTACTATTTTGGTTCCTTTTCCTTGTTCATTGCATCCCATTTTGGACAAATGATGCTCATTGTTTCACAGTTGGCAACGGGATTTCACAGACTTCAGGGAACTCCTGAAGTTTAAAAGAAACTTCACACCGACTGTCACACGGGCAAAGAGGAACTAGAAAAGTCCCCCCTGCCCCTCCCACCCCCCCCAGTCCACCCTGGACCAATCTATAAACCATCAAGAGCCGAGCACAAAGGCAGCATCTGTGCGATGCAGCCTGCATCCTGCAGGCCCCTGGAATGGCTCCGTGACACGCTGGCCATACTTTGCATGTGATTTCCATCAGCCCTGCCGCTGTTTAGCACCCCACGCGTTTTTACCACGCCTGTTTCGGGAGATTCAAGAGAAAGAGGAAATATGGCTGAAAGGCAGCTTGTTTGTGTGATGCAGGTGCACGTGGTGCGATGGGAACGAGGCTCCCTGTGTTGGGAGCTATCTTTTTAGGTTGTCATAGCAACTGGCAGCTAAGTCTGAGGAGGCCATGGGTCACATTCTGATCTATTTGCAGATTCTCTTCTAGGTCACCTTAGACCACAATAATAAGGTCCAAACTAATTTACTTAGCAGACCCTTATCTCTTACATCTCAGCATGAGAAACACAAGGTGTGGAGTGTGAGCATGTGAACTAGTTGAAATGCATGTGTCTCACGCAGGATGCCTCAGATTTGACAGCCCTGTAAAGGTTGACGTGGTTAACTGCTAACACAGCTGACCACCAATGCAGTTCTCCTGTAGCTTGTACCTATTTTGTGCAGGGTACGGCTCAGAAAGTCAGGACATTGTGCCTGTGATGAAAAGGTTGCCAGTTTAAATCCCATGATCAAGGCTCATAACGCCCACCAAGGTGTCCCGGGTTATACAGAGTTAAAAGCCATGTACCAGCTAATCAGAAAATAGCATTTGTTGCATGTGATCCCACTGCAAGCACATCATTACATGGATTTGTACAAACGTGCGGACAAGGCGGAAGTGACAGAGCAAGATTTGATGACTGTAGCAAGAACGGCTCTCAAGTGTCACACCTTGGCCGTGAGACACACGCTGCACCCCAGACAGATGTAATCTCACTCCACTTGAGAGTGCTGCTTTATCCGCGTTATCATTTAGCTGTGTTAGCTGTTAGCCATGCAAGCCTTTTGCCACGTTATCGTTTAGCTGTTAGCAGTTAACCATGTTAGCCTTTACACGTGTTATTGTTTAGCTGTTAGCAGTTAACCATGTTAGCCTTTACACATGTTATCGTTTAGCTGTGTTAGCAGTTAGTCATGTTAGCGGCTCAGCAGCTGTATGCCTGTATGCACTGTGCATACCCTTGGTATTTAGACTTATTTGGCTAACGTTGTGTTTTTTTTGCCTCATTATGTCTTCAACAGAGACATACAATGATTAGTAGGGCTGCACAATTGTGGGTAAAATATGAATCATAATTTTTTTCACTCAGAATCGAGATTATTTCTCATGATTCCTTATTATTAGTCTGTGTTACATATTGTCTTCATCAGCATTTATCAATATTCAAAGTTAGCAGCACCAGAGCTAAAGACACAACTGCTGAAACAATGATGTAACGTCATTCCACTAAGTCAGCCGGTTATTAGTATCGGTAACAAAAATATATTGGTTATCGGTACTGGGTCAAATTTTCGACTTCGGTGCATCACTAATAACATTGTCATCATGGAAATGGGCCTGTCACATGAACATTTCAGATTTAACCTCCTCTGCTCTTTATCATAACACCTGTTTTTCTACCCCCTCTTTCTGTCATGTGATGTCCTGTCATAATATGTGGAGTTACATATGTGGTTAGATACATTCCACGGCCCATGACAACAGATGGTTTCACGTTACGTCGAGTCGTATCATCTCCCATCTCTCTGTTTGCTTTGCGCCTGTCGCAGGTGTAGCACTTTAACACCGTCTCCTCGTTTTGGTTAGTCAAATGAAATTGCACATTTGTTATGCCTCATATGAAATGCGACCACAGGCTCTGGTCAGTTTACACTTGAGCACACATACAACCCTGCACGTGCCAGCCATGGGTGAGGCAGAGTCGGGCAGGGCTTGTAAGACCGGTCCCGCATTTTTGTATTATCGCCCAGACCCTCAGTCTATGACTGAGACTAGTTTAGCCTGTGCGGAGGCTGGTACCTCAGCTATATCTTACTGTGCTAAGTCTGGTTCCTGTTTATTTCTCTGGTACGCAAGAGCTGCATTTCTGGTCGTTTTCCCAGGGATCCTCAGCCCAATCCTCAGCTTTCCAGACCCCCAGCAGCTTCCATCACTTTGTTTTGGTCCATCACCTGCAGGTCTGAACCAGCTTATCGAGGGCTTCAATAATGAGTTGAGACGTGGCATCACAGGTGTGGCTGATAGAATAGAACCAAAATGCAGACCAGACACGTAGACAGGTAGTAATATTAAGGTTTGAACCCTAAAATTAGTCTGAGTCCTCCCCTCCCTAGTCGGCAAAATCTACTACTGTGGAGGACCTATTGCTAGGGGTGCAGGAGACCCCATGAAATCTGTTTCAGGCTATGGGCCTGACGTGGTCTGAGTGATCTAAACTCTCACCCCAGATCTCAACTTCCATGCACCAAAGAGAATCGAGGCCCCTCCACCCACATCCCCTCACAAAAGTAATGTTAATTGACTTTTGGTTTGACGACGCTGATGCAAGCAAAGCCAGATTTAGGCCACCACATTGTCACCAGGGAGCTCCAGACGTATGGCTGCAACTAGCTGATACACTTCAGAGGGTCTGAAGGGTTCAAGGTAGCCAGGAGAGCCAGTGTCACTAATTACAGAAACCAAAATGTAGACAGGCACCTTCCTGTATGAAAAAAACAGAGGTACAGTAACATGCTCACCACTTCCCACTTAAGCATGTTGCTTCAGACTTTTGAGTAGCCCTCACAGGAACACATGGCCAAACTTCCGAGCCCTGCCTTCAGGAGCCAAAATCGGTTGAGTTTCTATATCCTGCCTTGAGTTGCTGGGGATGCATGGCAACATTTTAACGAAGGTGATGTGAGCCTCTGTCGATTGTGAAGGTGATGGGCATGAGCTCTGAGATCTTTAGTTAATGTGAAGATTTTTCTCCAGTAATAATTATTGACATTAATGTTGAGGTCTTCTTCCCATTTGTCTGCCGTTATAGATATAAAGCAATTTCTGGTTGATAATTTGGAGAAATTTTTTTTATTGCGTAGTCTTGATTATGCCCCGTCAGGGGTGTTTTTATATTTTCTGTGTATGTTTCCACCAATTATAGTATTCTTGAAAAGCTGGTAATTTTCACATAAGAAAGGTAGATCCTGGATAGCTAAAATTTAGCATGTGGTTTGTTGTGTGTATAGCCAGATGCTATGAATTTCACTAAACACTTTGTTTTGCAAAATAGTCATTTATAAAGGTTGGTGCAATTCCCTGTGGGCTCAGGCCTCTGTAATGCCGAACTTTTTAAACTTTAGAATTTAGGATTTCCTAATGCATTGATCACATGCTGCTTAGCAGGCAAAGTTGCGCTTCCTTGCAGCAACAGAACATTATGACACATTGTAACAAACTGCCCTTCTGACATGTTATTAGTGTTTTAAAATAACCAAGGACTGTGAAACAACACTGCATCTTTCTGTTTATATAATCCGACAATGTACAAATGTAGGAGCAGCATAGTCAAAGCCGAAGGATTTCATCTGTATACATCCTTCACACCACTAACCCAGTACAGGGTTGCAGTGTTAACCCAGAATCCCAGGCTGCACTGGTTCCGAGGCAGGGAACCAGTGGACTCACTATGGGCATATTTTTGGACTGTGAGAGGAATCCAGAAGGAATCCACGCAGAATCATTTACTCATTTATCTCACACAAAGCAAACACAGAGAGAGCATGCAGATTTCACACATACTAAGCTGTGATTCGGAATTGATCCCACAACCTTGGAGGTTTCACAGTTAGGCCACAGAGCACCATGTCCATGACGGTCTCTGCCGACCACCTACGGTTTTCTACAACAGGAAAAAATGAAAAGGGGAAGTTTTCTGCTTCTTCACAGAAATGTATGTTAAGCAAAACACCCGTCAAACACCCTTGGGTTGGAACCCATCCAGCTTCTGACTTCCTGCTTCATCCTTCAGTTGTTCTTTGAACAGTTAGTAAGGAAGCCCCCACCCAGACATTCAGCGTGGCTCAGTCATTGTACATCGCACCAAGCACTGACTGCATCTTACCGTCGTTGCGCCATAAGCTTTTGTTACTTTTGTTACTCTGCTCGATAGCCACATGCTAACGAGTTTGCTGGCCATCTGTAGCTTGACAAGTAGAGAATTATGCTAACAGCGCAAAGTTTGTAGGCTTGAATCCGTGAGTGCAGACATAAATTGAACCCTTTCCTCTCCTGTAAGTTCCTTTGGATAAAGGTGCCAGGTACTGTAAATGAGATAAGTATCAGGTGCAGCAAAGGGCGTCGGCCATTCTGAGTGATTGGTTGTTATGAGCTCTAGTAGCTCCCAGTGCATTTACTGATCATACATCTTAATTTACTGCCCTGGTGATGTTACAGCTGGAGAGGACAGGAAGGACGGGTCGGCTTTTTCCCAGCGTTTGTCACTGGGATATTCCAGAGTGCCTGTCAAGGTCTTCCACATTCCACGCACCAATTTGGGTCAAACTGGTTGATAAGCGACACCAGCACACATCTCCCGTTGAGGCTAAGCAGGCAGGACAGCTGCCATCTCTGCTCCATGTTGATATGCAGATCTGTGGAGCCCAGTGCATCGTGGGTCAGCTTTGTTTAGCTCCATCTGGGTGCAGGCTGACTGCTTTGACTCTGCCTGGCCCAATGTTGCTATGGTGACACATGTTGATTGCTGGGGTGGGGTGGGGGGGGGGTAGCAGAACTGTGGCTTTCCCTGTGTCCTGGCTCCAGCTGTGGACCTCATCCTATCCTGCATGCTTATATGTTAAGCAAAATCATTCCAAACATGACCCCCCCCCTCCCCACCATGGCAGATGTGTTTGCTCGCTCAGCTGTCAAATGCCACCTTTCTCTTGTTTTCATTAAGTTCTTTCAAACATCTCCTTCATTTGCACAAATGTTAATATTTCTCCACATTCTACCTCATACTGTAATTTTTGCGCATTAAGCTCTTTTGCACATTTTCAATTTGGACAAATGCACAATTAATATTGTTCGACATCTGCACATTACACTTCAAAGTGTGTATTTGCCATTTTTTCTATTATATGACCTTGGCGTTTTGTGTGGACAACAAAGAAAGAATTTCATTGCACAGAGAAAGCACTTTTCTACTGTACATATGACAATAAACTCTTGAACTGAAAATGCCTATGGACCCCATTCTGTCCTGGGTCTAGCTGTGGATCCCATCCTTACCTACATCCTCAGTCTTAATAAAGGCCACAGGTTGAATCATCAGATATGAGGTTAAGAAGCATGTCAACCTGTTCGATCTTCTGGTCAAAGTCAACAGTGGATGGCAGGTATAGAGGCAATGGGTGGGTGCCGTCGTGACCAAGACATCAAGCACCACCCAGCCTGGACTTTCCCCACCCACCTTCCTTCTAGCTCAGAAACATGCCTGATCTCTCCCCCCAGAACACGTTTAGTGGTGCCTTCAGCTGCCCAGGAGTCCAACAGACATTCAGGATGGAATGGATGGTTGCTGTGGACTGTGGAATGTAGTGACCGGGGGGGGGGGGGGGTCTCAAGCCTGGTACTGGTTGATGATGGAAGCCCAGTGAGATAGAGCTTGAGGGTGCGATCACCTCTCGAAGACCCTGCCAAAGTTTGTTTGGCCCTTGATGTCCATTGCCACAGTACGGTCACAATAAAATTCATATTGCGAGATTATTTCATGACCTTTCACCCAGATTTCAGTTATTTTTCAGCTGTCTTTTTCCCTTTTTCAGCTCTTTTCCCCCCCATGCATCTCACCCAGGGTACTTCTGGGAAAACCCTCTGTGGGTGGATGGGTTTTCACCCAACACTCAACCGGTGAATCAGTTTTCAGGCCTCTTCATGTTTCTGCCGCCACCCGCCCGCCGCTCTAGCATCACACACCGCCGGTCATGTGACCCTCGCGGTGAACACATGAGCGAAAAATCTGAGCACCGTGAGAAATTTTTCTGAGATTTACTGACGGTATGTTTAGCAAAAAGAAGACACAATCACATATTACAGTCCAAGTGATTCAAATCAAGAAAGAGCATGAGGATCTGATCCAGCCATTCGTCAGCACATTCGCGTCATTGTTCCGCCTGAGACTGAATATAACATTCCGCTAGACTGAAAACCGTACCACCATTTCTTAACACAGTAATAGACTAGCTGTTTGTCTCCCGCCCAGGGTCGCAGTTGGGGCATGGATGCCCTGGCAGATATAGGGGGCCCAGCACTTTACAGGGGCCCTTGAATACGTATATACGTATTAAAAAACGTACACATTACGAAATACATAAATTTTGTGTAAAATTGCGCAGGTGGCATTTTGTCAGGGGCCCAGAATTTCTAGCTGCGCCCCTGACCCCAACATCTGTCCTTCTTAAGCCCCTCCTGAAGACTCAAAGCAACCCCCCCTCCCCGCTCCACAAAACACTTCCTAATAGAATCAAAATATTTGGAGTTCTTGAACTGGCCAGGCGGAACTGCAGATAGGCTTCACACGGGGCATTACCGCATTGGAAAACTATCTGAGCCCTAACACTCCCCCCCCCCCCCCCCCCCCCCCCCCCCTACAAAGAATACAATCAAACACTGTCCTGCGCACCTATATAAACCCACACGTGATGAGAATGTGCCTGTGTTTCTCTCTTATGAGTTAGAAGCCAGAGAAAAATATGGCAGATGGAGTCCTTACCGATGTGTTGTGTCGCCTTGGAGCGTCCGCCGTTAGCCACTGCCTTTGCTGGCGAATGAGCGGGATGTGACACTAACCAGCCCACGTGCTCCTCCAGCCCCAGCTAAAAGCATCAGATCACTGTTGTGCTTGGCTCAGCCCCTTTCTCTATCTCCCCCCGCCTCTCTCACTCACTCTCTCACCCTCTGCCTCCACCCTTTGTTACGCCACGTCTTTCACTTTTTCTTCAACTGATTATCTCTCCGTCTCATTTTCCTCTTTGTCTGTTCTTCCACTGACCAATTCTGCCACCACGCTCAATGCAAAGGTCTCCGCCCCCCCGATGCCACTTCTGCTGCCACATACTCGTACCTGGGGATTATGGGTAAATTGTTGTGGCTTTTTTTTTTTAACGAGCATAAAAAAAAAAACGGAAACACAAAACATAGAAGTGCTGTGTGTTACAAGTAACAGGTGTGGACCATGGAGCGCACGCCTAAGCTCTCAGTGGGACGTCTGCAGTCATGCACACAAACATCCAGACGTCCACATTGTTCATGGACTATCTGAACATGCTTCTGAACCCACAGGTGGAGTACATGCTTCGACATATGTGCATGCATTTAATTCATGGTAACGTTTCAAAGCTATATGCCTACAGTGCATACACACAGGGATTTGAAACGCACTTGAAAATCTCACCCATGCAATCAGTAACATACTGGCAAGCAGGTGGATTAATTAACAAAGTAAACTGGGTTACAAATTCAGATTCAAAGAACAACAATGCTGTAATACCTATGAATTACCCAAAGAAAATCCCACGTATAAATGAAAAACAAATCTCAAGATTATGTGAAAAGTAAATACATTATAAACACTCACATTCCCGTCACTTTTCATAACTGTTTCTGTTCAAGACTCATAGTTAAGGTACATTTTATCTGTTTAATATTACCTCGTGGATTACAGTTCATGTACTGTGGTTTTGATTCGTCCGTCTTCGCCTGCAACAACGTACTTCTAACACAAGAGGGGAGTGTTGGACAATAAAACTGTCCAACAACACCAATAGCAGTGCGTTCTTATGTTTTGGCACAGCTTAAATTGTATTACTACTGTACTAATTATATTAAACAGCAGTTACAAATGTAGTGTAGGGCCTTCTCATTTGATAATACTGGCTATGATATATACTGGTCAAAATATCAATTTCCTTTTCTCTTTTTGTTGAAGATACGGCATTTCAGCAGACTAACTTTATCTGTTCGATTGGCAGGACAAAACGGTCTCTTTCCGTGACTTTTTTGCGCTTCCTCATTACCCACCAATTGCAGCATAACCGTTTCACTTTCTGTCTCTCGGCATGTGAGTGCAAGTCCCTTGAAATCCTGCCCTGGTTGACCGCTTCCGTTGTGCTCTGTACTTCTTGACTTCGGCTCCCAGTTCACCGTAACCCTGTACTAGACAGATGAATTTGGGTCTCTGTCATTCCAAACAACGGGCTGAGCAAATTCCAAATCAGGCACACCTTCGGTTGTTGTATCGTGCTTAATTGAATACATAGATGTATATTTATATGGTCATCTTTAAGGAACCAATGGCATATCTTGTGTGGTTCGATCCCAATTAACTTTCGCCGGAAGTTCTTATGTTGCACTCCTGGTCTTTGAATAGTCTTATTAGATTCTTGCCTTGTTAGAAGTTGTTGTGTATTTGTTGTGTACCTCCTGCTCCAATAGGCCTACTGATTGCATTCATTTGATGCTCAGCCTAGACGCACTTACGCCTAGTCGACTCCTTAACAGCATTTATGTTTGCAATGTACGCTATTTGACTCACCTGTATATAGCTTTGGACAAAAGCGTCTGTTAAATATGTGAAGGTACAAAGGTTTTAAGGAATGGTTAAATCAGTGTCCATAAAACAGGCTAAAACAAACTTCACAATCATAAAACACAATGGTAGCATTCTTCATTGGCACATTAAAATGGTAGCTGAGGTGTCTTTTCCGGAAGAAAGTCGCATTGCTGTTGCTAGGATTCGGTACCAGACCGCGTTAAAAAAATCTCTTTTTTAACCAGGTAATTTAAATATTTGTATTATTATAGTGAGCAGGATACAACGTAGCTTACTACCGGCCAGGACGGTACCCGGCTTGGCTATCGTTTTACCATTAGTGTTGGGCAGGCACTGAATATTAAGATCGGTATTGGCGATAACAACACTTGATCCAGTCTAAAAGAAAATCAGTGATATTGCCCATCTGTACCCTCCCGACGTCTAACCGGCCTGTAGATGGGCTCCGGGGTTCAGCGCCGCGGCTGCACCCCCACCCATAAAACAGCTATTGGTACAGCAGTAAGAATCACCTGTCAGCACAATATGTTCATGCGCTCAAAATGAAATTCAACAGAAAATAGAATTTAATACCTGTCAGTGTACTTTCCCTTGAAATTTACGGCATCAGACCCATAGCCTTACTGTAGCCTACTGTACTACACTTAAACTGGCCGGAAAATAATTTTAAATACTAGAATGGTTTATGATTTACCATACTTTAATCCGACAGTTTCTTTTAATTTTCACGTTTTCTTCTTTTTCTGATTCTTCTTAAAAACACTTATTAAAATACCTATTTGCAAAAATCCTGGAACCTACTTAATTGCTAAAACATTTAATCCTATCTACAGTTTAAATGAAAACGTACAGTTTAAATGAAAGCAGTTTTCAAAAAAGCGACTAGCGACTTTTTTTGGTGTTACTGGAGACTTTTGGAGACTGACGTGAAAGCACGTATCGTCCTTACTCTTCTCACCGGGCAGCGGGTGCTGCCGTAGGCTCCCCTCCCGTCCCAAAGCACTCACAGGTGGCCAGTCCGCGTGCAGCAGCCCCGCCCAGCTGCAGTCACAGCAGGAGATGTGCATCATTTTCTCACATCGCCATTGACAATTTTTTTCATTTGTCCCTTTTTGATCCGTTTAGATTGTTGATGTAGATTTTATACAAAAAAATTTATGGTTAAAAATGTTAACGGTTCACTTGTTTACTGTGACTTGTTCACTTAAGCAAACCTAAAAAAGTAACTCTGCCAGTGTGTCTCTTTGGGGTAACTTTTGCCGGTGATATAAACGTATCTATGGAAAAACACTTTTTGTCTCTCCCACGACATTATTCCTCTCTTCTACAGTGTCCATTACAATTACATTCACATTGTACAAATGAGGCGATGGCTTCATTTAGCGACTTCTAGTGACTTTTGGGACAGCCAATAGCGATTTTCCTTGCTGAGGATTTGGCAACAATGTCCGCAAGACGCCCCGACCCATTTTATTGTTTCCAAGAAACCGAGTAACAACGACACATTTGCGTTCAAAAGCATTTATTGGGCCCGTAAGCTAATGCTTAAAAAGTTCATGTAAAATTAAAGTAGCTTGAAGTAGAACAGAAAATGTAACACGAATGATAAGATCGGTTTTGCGGTGTACCCCTGAACGCAGACCTAGATCTTAACATACATTTTGCAATACTCTTTCCGTTCAGTGGCATTAAAAGTGTATGTAGGCTCAGATTGTGCCCTTTTACCGTGAAAAAGGACAGCAGTTAAACTGTCAAATACTTGGCACAGAAATATTTTTTCGCACAGCGTGGTGAAGTGTTACGTACAGATTCCCGTCACTGGTGGCGAAGCCGTTAAGCATCTCACCCGCTTCACACCGGAATGCACCCCACCCGCTGTGCGAACCCCACCTCGGCACTCCGCCTCCCGCAGCCGATGGGTCCTGTATGCGGCGCGGAGACCGGGCTGCTCGGCGGTCGCACACATTGCAGCAGCCTGATCCGCTGCGATCGCGCTTTTAGTGTGAGGACGCCGCCACTATTTACAAAGGACGCGTACGCCATTCAGCAACAGAGAGAAAATACTTAATAATAGTAATAAAATATAGACCTACTAGACTGCATTTTGTGCGGATCGTGTCTAAAGGAAGCTGTACAATTTTTAAAATAATATTCCTTCTCATATTTTATTATTGACTACTATCCTCATAACACACTATTAATACACTTCCTTGTTCCCTAACAGCGAAACGGACTTAATTCACTTAACCTTCATATCCATAAAACCAATCAACCGAAACAGATTAAACTCCATTTTCACAGTGTTTCTTTTTAAAGAAAACTGACTTCATTCTTCGTTCACATTTTAAATCGCATTACATCTTAATAGACTGTTAAGTGTATTTCTAATCTACCTTACAGAATTTCCTGGACCTTTCTGGATGAGCTTATGTCCCTGGATTCAGTGGCTCAGTTAGGAGTTACTTAAACACTAGTTAATCAGTTTATTTCTTCTGATGTGAGAAATCTAAGAGGAAACATAATTAGAGGGAAATTATTATGTTAATTAAGTGATTAAGAGGAATACACCCAAAAGAACAAAAACAGCTGTGCAAAACAGCGTTTTTGGGTGGTTGTTTTGTCTTAGCCCCCCTGAAAAATAGTTTTTTCTAAATCCATTTAGCGATTTGTCCCAGATTTTCGTATACATTTCATACCCCTGGCTTGGCAAACTTTATCGTGGGGGAGGGAGGTGATGTCCCCTAAGCCCCCCCCCCACAAGGTTAAAACCTTAGAATCCCCCTGCCGTACTGTAAGGGTGTGCATGTGAAGCGGCAGGCGGCAGAAGCTACCGCGGGGGGGGGGAGCAGGTCCCACGAGGCACTGAAGTCCATGCCGGGACCCCGCCCAGTTTTAGAACCACTCTCACCAGCTCCCCCTAGAGCCGGATACAGTCAAAGCTTTGCCTGCAAGCGTTGTTGTTGTTTTTTCAGTCTGAACCCGCGAGCGTTCTCCCTGGTTGACGCTGCCTCCTCTCTGGCGCCCTCTAGAAGGAGGAGGTACTCTCCAGGCTCATGAGGCGGCCGCGGAGAATGGAGCTGCCCTGCCGGGAGAGCTGCTGCTTGAACTCCGTAGTGAGAAAGTAGTAGATAATTGGGTTGAGGCAGCAGTTGAGGCTGGCGATGCAGAGGGAGATGGGGTGGAATTGGTTCACGAGCTTGACCAGGGGGCAGCTGGAGATGACCCCCTGCTTGGACAGCATGTAAAACAGGAAGTTAATGTGGTAGGGGGTGAAGCAGAAGAGGAAGACGAAGGTGCAGACGCGCACCATGCGCAGTGCCTTCTCAGTGTCGGTGGCGTGCGGCCTTACGCTGACGCGCCGCAGCGAGCTCATGATGCGCAGCGAGCAGAAGGCTATGACGGCCAGGGGCCCCACGAAGCCCAACAGCTCCGCAAAGGTCACCATGGGCACGGTGAGGCGCAGCGAGATCTTCCGCATGGGCAGGTCCTTGAAGCAGCTGTCCGAGCTGGCGTTGGAGCCGGCGTCGCTGTCGCTGCGCCTGCTGCGCATGAGGATAAAGGGCGAGCAGCACAGTCCCACCACCAGCCACACGGCGGCGCTGATGCGCACGTCGTAGCGCCGCTTCCACTTCTTGGCGCAGAAGGGGTGTTTGAGGAAGAAGTAGCGCTGGATGCTGATGCAGGTGAGGAAGACGATGCTGGCGTACATATTGAGGTACTTCAGGTAGAAGCAGAACAGGCAGAGACCCTGACCGAAGGGCCAGGTGTGCCGCCAGTAGTAGTGGATCCGCAAGGTCAGCGACAGGACGTGTGTCAGGTCAGCTACTGCCAGGTTGATCATGAAGATGATGGCCTTCGTCTTCTTCCTGCAGGAGATGAGGGGCGGGATCGTCAGTCATAGCAAAATGTCGCATGGTCACCGGAGCAGAAAACAGGCTAAGAGCCTGTGCCAATGCTCAGAAGGTTGCTGGTTTGAATCCAGTTGAGTGGTTTCGCCATTGGACACATAAGCGAGGCTCTTAAACCCTCCAGGGATACTGCCTGGGCCCGCCCTTTCAAGCGCACATCACCTTGGATAAAAGCCCCAGCTAAATTAACAGAATATGTTGTCATTGTACGATGAAACTCCATGGAGGGTTCACCATGAGGAGGAAACCCACTTTAACCAATCAGCCATCTCATCCTAATGTGTACATTCATTTACATTATGTAAAGCAAGCTATTCGATGGTGTTTTTCATGCTAATGACACTAAGTGTATCTGATTGCAGCAGATTTGATCACATTGTCTGCAGTTTACAATGCGCTGAGCCGCCACGGTCGTCCGGTGCACGCTAACCTGATGAACCGGCAGAGAATCCAGAGTGCCAGGCTGTTCCCCAGCAACCCAGGGATAAAGATGATCAGGTAAAAGTAGGCATACAGTTGGTCCATGTGGTTCTCCCATTCAGTCATGTTATACAAGCAGATGAGGGAGCAGTTGGCGGGAGGCACCTCCGCCGAGCAGGATGCATTCTGGGAGCTCATCCTGAGTCCAGGTGATTCATTGATGCTGGCTGCCCAGAGGCGCCGTCTGAGGGACAAGAGAAAAGCAAGGAGATGATGTTGACTGAAGAAAAGGAAAGTCAGTACAGGACAGGATTTTTTCTTTTTTCTAAATCAGCAGATGTCAGCCACTTTTAGTCATGGCGCTGCCATTAAAGGCGGTTTCAGGAAGTGGGGACCGTTGTGACTAATTTGAATAAATTAAGTGGAAAATTACAGTTCGCACATTCCCCTGCCCACAGGAATATGTGCAGCTTGTATCTGATTGCACAGGCATAGGTTCTGAAGATTCAAGACATATATTTTTTGTCTCAGCCCCCAAGAAAACTCAGTGTTCCGATACCAATCGGTATTTCTTTAGATTGAAAGTTGCACTGGAGCCTGAGCCCCGCTAAGGGTCGAGTCCCATAATTGCTGCTGTCGGAACAACTTGATTTGTGAAAACGGTTAAAAAGGGATGTTAATGAAGCGGGTGCCGTGGTTTCAGATGGAGTGGGGGTGATAATCAGAGCCATCTGTCCGCCTGGTTGGCACGTCTGGGGGTGCCCGCCAGGGGAATATGGCTCGGAGAGCGGCACCCCCTCCTTATCGTGAGCTTACATGCCATGCAGCGTTCCCCCGATTGAAATGATAAGACAGAAACCGTTTACAGCACCTGCCAACTCCCTTCCTGTTTGAAAGAGAGAGAGACTGATATTCAGAGTGACTCGTGGGTCACAAAGAAAAGCTGTTGACTGGGGACCGTGTGCAGGCATACACAGTTGGTGTGGGGGAGGGGTGAAATGTGAATCTTGGTTCCGGGGAGGGACCTGACAAGGCATTGCTCATTCTTTGATGGATTATTGTTGTGTAAGCCATTTGCATGGTCAGTTCTGCTCTAGTTTCAAGACGACTCGGCATCATGGACAGAGTCTGGGTTTTTGAGTCCTTGTTCGATACACGGCACCATTATCATCACTGTCACTGTTACTGGTATAGGAGAGAGTTTGATACTGGGGGGGGACACAACTTAATTTTTTACAAAGGTCTATTTATTGTAGAGATGAATGAAGTGGTACAATCACTCCTGATTACGGTGCTTCACTGTAAGCACATAAGCGCATAGGGGGACCTATCTGTAAACTGTCAGAAAAAGGACCAATTTGTACCTTTGAGGGTACAATTACTTGTCAGTGGGGCCGTACCCTCAGGGGTCTGTCAATTCTACCCTAGCTGTAGATACATGTACCTTTTGAGGTACAGAAAACTTCCTCTGAGGAAGATTTTTGTACCATTGCGGGTACATTAATGTTGTTTGTACCTTGGGGAACAAAACTGTTCCAGGGCTGGACCTTTTTTTCTGACAGCGATGACTAATCTCACAAATGGATGTGAAAGTGAGCTCAGTATCTTTCGTTCTTTCTTACCATGCGATAACGCCCCAACTCGCTGCACTGGTGAGCAAGATGAGACGCTCACTCAGTGTGGTCTGCACGGACACGGGCTTGTGACTTTGCGCACTGCCAGTTCATGCCCTGGTAGAGGATGTGCTGTTTTACTCAGGGGCGCCGTAAAAGGGGGGCAGGGACGTTAGGGCGATTCCAAGGGCCCCTGGATGACAGGGGTCCAAAAAAAATGTGAAATGTAATTAGACTGGGCGAGGTTGAAGGCCCAGTATGATACGCTTTCATGGGGCCCGAAGTCAGATTGAGGACACTCAACCTCACAAGCGTTTCCCAAAAGCTTCTGTTAGCGAATCTATAGTTCGACCCATTCAACTGAGTGTCTCCAACTACGTAAGTTGCTAACATGGTTAGCGACTACGCTATTAGCAACATACTCCTAATTAGCTCTGGCAGATTATATGTATGTACGTCAGCAATGTACTCCAGTAAACTGACAAAGCTTTGCTTTTGCTAAAACTGCCAGTAGATACTATATGGTATCTAACAGATATATACATGCTGACCATAGCGTTGTTAATTAACATGCTGTCATATACGCTGGTACATATACACTCAACAGCCAGTTTATTAGTTATACCTGCTTGTTAACGCAAACAGTCTCATTAACTGCGACTGAATGCAAACAGACAGGGCCAAAGTTCACTTAATGTTTGGATAAGCATCAGAGTGGCTAAAAAGTGTGATTTACGCAATTTTGAACGCGATGTCTTTCTATTGGTTCCAGCATCTGAGAAACGGCCAGTTGGCAGATGATGGTGTAAAGAGCAAAAACATCCAGTCCTGGCAGTTCTGTGGCAAACACTAGCGTTTACCCATCAAAGTGTGTCAGCTTAGCCATTTCAAAACCTCTCAGAAATTCACTCTAGTACTTGCAGCAACAATCCAATATACCCAATGCTGCCTCGATTACTAGCATACCATGTTTGGCTAATCAGTAGCTTAAGCAGTTAATTAATTAAGAGACCTGGTGCTGAAGTTTAACAAAGACACTGAATAGTCGTGGTGTTCCTGAGGAGAGGTTTGGGCACCAAAGTGGTGTTCATCTAGCCATCCAACAACAGTAACAGTGTAGCCCTATGGGAAATTAGGGTGGTTAATTTCAAATGTTGATGTATTTAAGTTGATGTTTAAAAAGTGTCATTTCTCTTTATATGTAATAAGAATTTAGTTACTTTAAGAAAGAAAAAAAAAAGAAAAAACTACCTGGAGGAACGATCCAATCAGCGAGGGGGAGACGAGGAAGAAGATGACGGTGGGGGAGAGTAACGGAAGAGAAATAGTTAAGAAAAGTTGGTAAAACACCAGCTTTATATTGGTGACGGGGGAATGTGAGCAAGATACACTAACTGTATCGCTTAAGAACATTCTCCCCACATTGTTTAGGGTTACATTTGCCAGAGTTTTTTTTTTTACCGCGACGAGCCGGAGAACGCTAGCCAAACCTAGCTGGCTAATTGAAGTTTGCAGGGACTGTGCAGGCAAGTAGCCTACTCGGCCCTCCTGCTTTACGCCCAGGACCACGAACTTTGATCCCGGCAAAACCCCCCTGTTTGGGATGTGGACATCCATTTTCCTCCGCTGCGCCACCACAGCGCTGCTCACGTGAGGACGCCGACAACCAGCCATAACAGGGCAAGTTTTTTTTCCTTGGCGCTTTGACGTGAAGCGGCCAGTTATTTGGGCCTCTCCGCTCACCAGCCTCGCCTCAGGCCTGCATCGCTGACTCGATTGGGTACCTAATTTCACCTCAGGTTTTCATTGTAGGTTTATTTCAGTTTAGAATACAACTGCCGGCTTTAAGATTATATACGTAATAATTTGGGGTATTGTCCTGATTGGGGTGAGAAATACTGTTCAGTAACATTTTAATTTATGTGCATATTTCCAGTAAACAGTTAAACTTTATTATGTTTGTACATTTTTTGTTCTTTATTTTCCCCTGTTGATAATTCATTGGTAAAGGTAACATCTTTGTTCTAAAAAGAGGGTAAAGGAATGTTATATTACTGTGAAGGTAAGCAAGAATTAAATACGACCGATATTGGGGGGAGATGAATGTATTTAAAACTATACTGTCTTTCGCCAGTTGTTAGAATAATTTGAGCAGTAGTAGTACTAACTTCCTGTTTGTATGTGGTAAATAATTAGTTCCCTTTCTGCATTGATTAACATTAGAGAGAGATCTCATATCAAAGGAAAGGATTCGGGGGCGCACTCCAACACATAGCCAGACAAGCTAGGGGGCGCTACAACAGTATCAGTAACTTTTTTTTGGAGAACAAGACTTTTTTGTTGGGTCTTATTGAGTTACTGTTAACTGCTAACTAGCAAATAAAAACTTACTGGCAAGTTTTATCGTAACTGCACATTTTAGACCGTGGAGGGGAAATCCACATGACGAGAAGAATGTAAAACATGTATAATATTTGATAAATATCGTATAAAAGATAAGCGCATGCTTCTGCATTTTGTTGTAGTGATCAGGTGCAGAAATCTGCTGCTGGGAGCAAAGATGGGGCGGTGTGGTGGGGGGGGGGGAGGTTATATGACCACAGTTCACCAGTCAAAGCACAATTCACCAGCCAGGATGCGGGGGAGAGTAGCTAATGGGGGAACAGAAGATAGTTGCATCAGCCTACGTACAGAATTAAGCTCACAGGCAAACTGCAGAAGTAGTAGGAGATGCTTCAAGCAAAAGTCATGTTCTCCCATCAGATGTAAGACACCCCCCCCCAGCCACAGACACCCCCCCCCCCCTCAAAGCAGCAGGGAACCCTCAGTGCCACAGAAAATGTGGGCACCCCCAAGGCACACCCAGGAACTGGAGTGGCAAGCACTCCCCCTGGTCTCAGCCACACGCTTTCATGGCGGCCACATTAAAAACAGTGTGACGGGATGTGTGTGTGTGTGTGTGTGTGTGTGTGTTGGGGGGGGCGGGGGGGAGCTCGACACGGCCACATCACCGCCGGAGACCGATCAGCTGCTTTACACAGGCTAACCTGCTCACGTCACCGATTTCTTGTTCTCTTGCGAAAGTATGTTTTTCTGACCGCTTCGATCACGTGGCTGATTTCTGCCGAGGATGTCAAGAATCAGGGATTTTCCCATAACGTTACATCTTTGGACACAACATATTTGTGTACAGTCATCCATCGACGTACGTCCTGCTAAGTAACGTCCAGTCGTATTTACATCCCATAAGAGCCTTAATGACATTTATTGAGAGACGTCTGCAGCAGACACAGTGGATGTATTTTACCACGTGTCTGGCAGGTGGTAAGAACCAAAACAAACCGGTTCTGCAGCCACTATGGAGGTTTAGTAAAATGTGTATGATATCGTATCCCTTTAACGATCAAGATACTTCTGGGGCGTAAGCTGGATGTAAGTCTTTGGAAGGCAGAGGTGGATAGTTCAGGTCCACAAAGTTAAAATCCAGACCAAGATTTTGTTCCAACCAATCAGTTGAGCACTATGTAACTGTGACTCGTTTTCTCTTTTTACTCAAATGGTTGGTTGAAACAAAATCTTGGTCTGGATTTTTACTTTCTGGACCCGAACTATCCACCACTAGACACCTGGATTCAAGGAAGCAACTTTGGATTGAATATTGGGGGGTTGAAGTCCCTGCCTAATCATCATGACCATATGATTATCTGGGGGAGGGGGGGAAAGTGACAAAGATGGCTGTAGTCCAGCCTTGGAAAGCCCTTGAAATCATGTCTGACACCATGTTTTAAACTTGGCGACACAACAGCCACAGAATGATGCTCAGCAGGACGCGCTTTCTGAGACGTCGCTTGGGTGGAGTCCTATGGAACCTCCCCCTGCCCCCACCATATCCCTGTGGTCTTGCCCTTGCTATTCTATGCTATCTTTCTACTTCATGATTCTTGTGAGTGGCAACCAGTTTGAGACTGCTTATGCTTTTATAGGCAGCATTCAAGAAAGTCTCACGCGGAATAACATCCAAAACAATTAACAGATTCTTTTGTTTTGCTGCCCCAAATGTAGGCCGCAGCGTTCCAGCTGGCAGGCGACGGCTAACGGATCTTGCGCGATTCGCGGCTAAGCTCCACACGCCGCGTGTCACTTGGCTCCGGATGCAGGGGCGTGTGCTCTGTTTACATGACTGTCAGTGATTCTTCCAGCCAGCACGGCCACACCTGACTCCATCATTTCCTCTGTAAAATGCTTCTCGATGACACAAGCACTACAATTCTCAAATATGCCGCTCTGTTGGCGACTTTCGCAGAATGTGGTGCCGATGCGCGGCTTCGTGGCTGACCCTGTGCACTTTGGCGTGTTTAATTTTACCCCTCCGTGCATACATGCCGCCTCTTCGCCTGGGGAGGGGTAACTTCATTGCAGGCTATTGAAATCACTTCCTAGCTCGTTGAGGTGACTTCATAGAACCCAAATAAGCATGCAAGTGATGCAACTACGCCTGAAGGTAAACAGATACCCTGTATGGAATTCAAAAACTCGCGCTAAGTAAATTTGCCTACTTCAGCCAACCAGAGCACCATGGATCTGAATCTTGATATGGCAGCAATAGACATGGCCTCCCGCATCGCATATCGACGTCCATCTGCAACACCCGGACCGACACTCGTTCTTTGGTTTCATTTCATTTTTCCTTGGCTCCATTCCCCGGCACACGCTTCCCACGGTGAGCTCCTGTCATGTGTGTCATATTTATGTCACGCATGTCAGCACAGGTAACTTGCTGGAGACGGGACTTTAAAAAACGGCGCAGTGTGCAGGGGAAGACAAAGCCCCTCTCATCCCTCCCGTCGGCATTTAAGAGCCTCCCGCCTCACATGGAAATGCCACAGAGTCCTTTCTGATCGCACACCTGTGGGTGGCTGCTGGGCCACACCAAGGGGACATCATGAGTTATGAGAAAGTCCATATTGATAGATGCTACAGAGAGCTTGGGGGGGGGGGGGGGCTTGGTCCTACCTGAAGCAGCGATGGCGTGCTGGCTGGAGGCGCGTGGTCTGCTCGCTGTCGACACCGGTCCTCAGAGTCTTCAACGGCTTCACGCGACCGTCTGTGCAGGGATCAGGAAGTCCTTCGCAATTCTCTGCTTCTGCACGCCTGCCTGTCCCTCCCCTCCCGCGTCCCCTCTTACGTCAGCCTGCTTGGCAGCCGGGTAAACAGGAAAACAAACAAACCTCGAGGCAGGGGAGCAAGACACCTCGACCCCGGGTGGCTGCTGGCCGCTGTGACGAAAGCAGCTCACTGCAAAACACGATGCAACTGAATTAGTGCCCTTAAACGAGAGACTTGCTAATTTGGAGCATGCTCCACAACAAGTGTGCTCTCTTCAGGGCCACCTCCTGCCTTAGAAGACTGACCTAATATTGAACAGGACCAGAAAAAGTCCATTTGAGGGGCGACACTAAAAAAGATTCATACTTAAGGGTCATAGCTAATGTCGTTCCACTGTCACCACTAAGTGCTCCACATATAATTGTTTTTCAACTACTAATCAGGCGTGTTTTCACAGGTGCAGGGGGGAAGTAGGTAATGGAAATCTGATTTAAAAAAACAGATATGAGACAGTAATCAGCAGCATAACAAAGGCAATGTTCCTGCATTTGCAATTTTTTTCTAAAATGGCCCCATCTTCCCCTAGTGTTTTTTCCAAGCATACATGAAGATTAGAATCATCCAGGATATTATGCAGCTGTGCCCAGATTTCAAACAGAAACCACAGTGACGAAACACAAACTACCTGCTTTTGGAAGTAGCCGAGTATAGATACTCTATATGGACAAAAGTATTGGGACACCTGGCCATCACACCCACGGGAACTTTTATCACATCCCATTCTAAATCCATAGGCGTCAGTATGGAGTTAGCCCTTCTTTTTTTCCCCACATTGTGACACTGTACACATGGACAATTCTCTGCTTGCAACTTTGTGGGAACAGTTTGAGGAAGGACAGGGTTCGAGTGGCTTTCGGGAAGCTGTGTTTTCCGATGTGCGCCACGACTTCCCAAATCGCACGCACGCACGAACATATAAGCGCTGGAAGAACACTCAATAATGGGGTTATTGCAAAACCACTTTACTATTACTACTGCAGGCAGATAATACCACCAGTAACATTTCATATAGGCACAATGGACACAGAATGTGGTAATTAGTGGAAACATATGTTTGGAAAATGGAATGTAATAAGCGAATAAACACACAACATTGACGTATTTCTACAGTTTTTTGTTTTTTATATATAACCTATAACACAAAAGGGGACAGTTATTTAGAGCCCGTCTTAATGTAAATGCCCTTTTCAGTGGAGCCAAACTCTCCTTACCTCCCCATAAACCATTGGGAAGGCCCTTTTCTGTCACATCAAGACTGTGCCCCAGTGCACCAAGCAAGGTCCATAAAGGCATGGTTGGGTGAGTTTGGTGTGGAAGAACCTGAATGACTAACAGAGCCCTGACTTCAACCCCACTGAACACCTTTCTGATGAACTAGAAGGAAGATTGCGAGCCAGACCTTCACGTCCAACATCAGTGCCTGATATTACAGATCTTCGTCTGGATGAATGGGCAAAAATTCCCACAGACACAGTCTAAAATCTTGTGGAAAGCTTTTCCAGAAGAGCAGCAGCTGTTATAGCTGCAAAGGGGGGACCAAATCCATATTGATGCCTATGGATTTAGAATGGAATGTCATAAAAGTTCCTGTAGGTGTAATGGCCAGGTGTCCCAATACTTTTGCCCATATACTGTATATATGATTGTGTCCCTGTACTTGTCAGATCCCAGCAAACCCATCACTTCCTAACAGGGTGCAGAACCCACAGACTACGCAATGAACATTTCACAAAAGGGGTTAACTCCTGTCTGCTTTGACAAATGCTGGTTGAACAGGATAAACAAGCAAAAGGTCACCAGTCAAGGCATGCAAGTTACATTCTGATCACAAGTACAGCATTAAAGCTGGTGTGAAGTTTGCTACCATAACTCACTTAACAGATTTAAACATTGAACAATAGGTTTCCCTTTTTGTGGGTTATACTGTTTTTTAAGAAGAAAGAAAATAACATAACTTCTCGTTTTTTGCGCGTTTGCACGCTTTCCCGCGCCGCGTGTAGGCGCTTAAACAATTAGGTGACCATTATGCGCATGCGCGATCAAGCCAGGGTGTTCTTTTGCGATTGGTCCGATTATACCGGTCCGAAACCCATGCTTCACCAAGGGGGGTGGGGGCACCATTTCGCGTATTAAAACAAGAGTAAAAGCAGCGCATAAGAACGTGTCATGCTGCTTGCATCCCAAGCTAAAATGGGGTATCTAGATAGATAGAACCCAAGACTTCTCATATCTGCATGTATTAAAATCATTACTAGTATTCGGTGATATAAGGAATTATTTACTTTGAGATATGTTGCAAGTACCCAGGTTCTTTCTAAAGGTGTGTAAGCCACACGCGTTGTGGAAGTCCGCGGAGTATTCTCTGCAACACGCCTGCACGTGCACACGTGCCTGCGCTTGGCCCTTTAGGTAAAACGCTGCGCGGTTATTGATTTTTTTTCCGACTGGTAAGCATGGTATCAGTTTTCATAACAATCCGGGTAGACCTCATAATAAACACCTTCGGAGGTGTAATTTGCCTTTTCTTTCGCGAATCTCTCCTCTCGCTTTCGCAGCGAAGCGGCGCGGCGTGGGAGCCCACGGCGGCCGTGGGGGAAAGTACAGGGGAGGCGCAGGTACGGCTCACATACAGTATTAGAATAGAACAGCGCGCTCGCAGCCGCTGAAACAGAAGCGGAAAGTACAGGCGACTACGTGCAGTAATCGCATAACAACACACCAAAGGCTCCCGTAAGATTTTGTGAAAAGAACAGATGGAAATCCACGTGACAAAGTTTCAAATGAGTTTGGTTACAATATTACATTGTCTGTCTATTACTTCTTCTAGGCAGCAGTTTATGTACAATATCGAAAGTCAAGACAAATCCCTTTTTATAAAGCACATATAATAACACCAAGTGTTTACCAAAGGTAACATCTAATGCGTACATAAGAGGTACCCCCCCCCCCCCCCCATGCTAAGTGTCCAGGGATTAAAACGTTCACAGCAGCGGACTGCGGTGACGTTCTGGCCTTGACGACATCTCACTGATTTTGACAACTTTGTCTGTGGTTGCTAGTGTGAGAAGCGGTACCTTATGGAGGGTGTGGAAGCACAACCCCCAGTCAGTGACGTCTCATACAGTACGCCTGCGGTATAGCGGATGCTGGCCGGCAGGTCTGGTCAGACTGACACACTTGTGATGCCGTGCGGCTCTGCAGAAGCGCACCTGCACCTTGCAGAGCCCCATCATGTTTGTCACCCACCTCCCACACTGTGCTAGTTCTTTTGAGAATGGTGTTATCATGTCAGAATATTCTCAGTCAACCCAGCTGGGTCTGCATGAGGAGGGGGAAGTGGAAAGACAACAGTTAAAGGGCGGAAGAAAAGGGTGTGGGCGCTTGTTCAAGCACAGTTATTTAGTTAAAAGCGGAGTTATTTACTATCTGAACCAGGAAGACTTTTTCTAAATCGATTTTTAGAGAACTTTAGCACCTAAACAACAAAAATACTCATTTAAAAATAACTTACTCCTCTTCCTTTCTCTAAGGTAGGTAAAGAAGAAATATCTTACCCTGCATGTTACAAAAAAGTTCCGCTTCCTTCTGTGGAAAGCCAAAGACCACTATGAGTAGCCAGACAGGCCTGCAGTTTCAATATTATTTGATGGTGCAGGTTCAGGCTTTGTAAAGTGATTGCGTGTTTCAGTATAGTCAGTGCTTGAAGCAACACGTTTCATTCAATCGAAGTAAAAGACATTGATCACCACCTCCTGGAGATTTGCAGTTTTATCATGACTAAATATTTTTCCTAGTTTCACCAGTAGAGGGCAGCAGTGTATTGCATGGCAAAAGAGACGACATCTTTACATTATGGTTATATTTACATTATAATCATAGTGTAGCATGCATTGTATATTGCTCTAAGTAAGGACAATTTAAATATATTTAAAAGAGATGATTAATTTTTATATCCTCTTGTCTGTAACATGAACATATATATAGTTACACTCACTGGCCACTTTATTAGGGACACCAGTACACCTGCTTGTTCGGGCAAATATCTAATCAGCCAATCGTGACAAAAACTTAATGCATAAAATCATGCAGGCATGAGACAAGAGCTTCAGTTAATAGTCATATCAAGCATTAAAATGGGGGAGATTGAGAACTAAGTGACTTTGACTTGGAATGCTTGTTGGTGCCAGACAGGATGGGTTGATCTCCAGGGGTTTTTCATGCGCAGCCTCTCAAGGTTTGATGGTGCAAAAAAACTAAAAGCAGTCAGTGTGCATCGATTCTGTGACCAGAAATGCTTTCTTGAAGGCAATGGCCAGATTTGTTTCAGATTACAGGAAGGCTAAAGTAACTCAAGTAACCACTTGACACAGCAGCAGTGAGCAGAAAAGCATCTCCGAGCACAGAACACATCAAATCTTGAGGTGGGTGGGTTACAACAAAAGACGACCACACTGCTTTCCATTTCTGTCAGCTATGAATAGGAAACTGAGGCTGCACTGAGCACAGCCTCCCTGAAGCTGAATGAATCTTGATTTCTGCTGCAACATGGTAGGGTCAGAATTTGGCATAACCACTATGAATCCATAATAACCAAATAAGCATTGTTTAAATGGCACATCTTACCTGAGTATTGTTGTTGACCACGTGCATCTCTTTATAGCCACAATTTACCCATCTTCTAAAGGCTGCTTCCAACAGGACAGTGTACCATGTCACAAAGTACAAGTCATCTCAAACTGGCTCCATAAACATGGACAATGGGCTCATTGGACTTCAGTGATCTCCCTCGTCGCTGGATCCAAATCCCGTACAGCATCTTTGGGATGTGGTGGAATGGGAGATTGGCAGCATGAATGTGCAGCTGATAAATCTGCAGCAATTACATGATTCAGTTGTGTCGACATTGAGCAGAATCTCTAAGGAATGTGTCCTGAACATTGTTGAGTCCATGCCATGAATAATTCAGACTGTTCTAGTTCCACCCTCACTTAGAACGTGTGTGTGTGTGTGTATATATATATATATATATATATATATATATACAGACACACACACACACATATATATTTTTTAAGTTACAGAATAGTATTGCCTCAATAAGTCATCATATTAAAAACCAGGAAGCCAAACGTGACTATTAGAAAACCCCCCACTCTAGCTGAAACAGAAGTAGGATCATTTGGTGAAACAGCCAGTTCCGGCCAACAGCCGCTACCACTCCAGAGCTGATAAACGGCAGCCTGGACGTCAGGCTGATAAGACGAGCGCAGAAACATGGAGCCTGAAGCCAAATAATTTCCCCGTCCAAGGCAGCATAGAGGTTTCCTGTGAAGAGGTTTTTTCCTGCGGGCTTTGCTCTTGCATCTTGTGAAGACGCAGATCCAGGTAAAGGTAGCGACGATGCTGAAGGACTTAGAGGTAACATCATTGTAATGTTTGTATGTGGAACCAAGCTTCCATAAACTGCACTCAATTTACCTCTTATGTACGCATTCCATGTTAGGGTTTAGGCCCAGGAATTAACCAGCTAGAACGATCACAAATCCAATGAACAACAAACCTGCCTCCTACTGAAGGATGTAGTGCATGCAATTAACCAGTGTTTCCAGCCTTGAAACTTGCTCAAAACACATTCTAACCAAACCAGGGATCACAGCAAACAATGCTTTTTGTAAAACAAAGCCCAGAGGACTCTGGGACGGCATCTTCCTAAATGTGGACTCAAAGGGATCAAAGACCAAACTACCAGGAGCTGGCTGGAAAGGAAATCTTTTGTGCAAAAAGTGAGGTTTTGGGTGGGGGGTTGGGGTTTCCTTGAGTCGCGAGGCAGGACTGGATGTTGTTTGTAATAACTGCTTTTTTATTTTGGGCTCCCATAAATCTATGGGGCAGAAGGAAGGGCTTCAGCCTATCGCTTCTGTAACGGCTGTGTTAACAGGAGCAAGAGGCAGCAGGAAATGAACCCTCTTAAGTCATCCTGTTACAGCTGGCTGCAGAGAGACAGTGCGTTGACTCTGACTCTTCTTTCCTGCGAGAAATTCATTCCACTCTTTGTATATCCTTATATTTTTGTTTACATTGCTGACATATGAATGAATGAATGAATCCAAAGAGCATTATATGAAAAAGCAGCACTCTGTCAAATGTCTGCATTGCATTAATTACCATACAGTCAACGCTGCTTCCACTGAAGGATCTTAGAAGAGTTACGGAAGGTTCCACCCGTGGACGGGAGGCCTGTAAGCAATGAATGGTACACCAATGACAATGTGCTTGTGTTGGGTACTGACAGCGTTTGCAGATCACATTCCTGTTACCCCAATTTACCCCCATGTGGCTCCCCATCCCCCATTACTCTCCCCCAGCTCAAAACCACCCTGGGACTCAGCACGGATGGGATGGAGTCCTCCCCCCCAGGAACCAGGAGCCCCTCCCATTAACCTCCACATCACCACTTCCTCGGTTTTGATGCTCCCCACCTTCCCCTTCTTTTTGGCCCAATGGTATGTATGTCTCCCTTCCCAATTCCTGTCCCTATGCTCAGGTTCCCAGTAGGATTGCAGAGACAAGGCAGATGCCGGTGTCACTCACACATACTATGTCTGTGGAGAAAAAGCCAAGCTTATGCTGACTTACTGGAAAACCTGTAAACAGCTCATCATGAATGGAAAGTGGGCACACCAGCATCAGTTGCTAATGAACGAAAATAAAGTGGTGGTATTTACCCTTGCTGCTTTACCTGCCTTTTCAGAACACTGACAGACGGCTATTGAAGACAGTTACTCTTTGGATTTAGTCCTAACTTGGCCCTGGGCGAGTGGACATGGTCTCCTTGTGTTCCTGTGGTTTTCCTCCTGTCCACCAAAGCCATCCTATGGATGGCCTGTGGTGGACTGGCGTTTCACCCAGGCTGTTCCATGTCTTGAGGGCCGTGATGACCATGATGACTCTGACTAGCTCCAGATTCCCAGCGACACTAATTAAATAAGTGGTCATTAAAATTGCATACATTGACCTCTTGTGTTATCTTCCTTCCTTACTCAGCCTTTCACCTGCTGCGGGATCATGTATCGCTTTAGCACCCACCATCGTCGTGATAGAGATCCGATGCTCGCTTTTTATGACGCCCGCGGGGAGATGTTGATGTGCCCCTGAACCATTTAACACAAAATAGCCGTACATGCATAAGAATGTGAAAGAGGATCATTCGAAATCCAGATTGTGCCATGGAAGGAAAAGCCCTTTGCTGCATGTCTTGAAGAATTAAAGTAACTCTTGGGACCAGGAAGTGATTAGGCTAAAGACCCCTTATTCAGTGGAAGACAATGGTCCATTGATGCAACCTTAATGAGCCTTTGGTCGGGGATTATTATGGAACATCTTACTACAGCGGTGCACTTTCCCATTAAGATAACATTGAGTTGTGTTGATTTCTGTGACATTCTGCATATCTAGGTCATCTGACCACACCTCCTGCTACAGCCACAAAATCCGCAGGTGGGTTGGGTCCCAGACAGCTGCTTAGATGTGCCCCTGGTTGGGTACTAAGTAGGTTGTGACAATGTCACTCAAGACAGGCACCCTGGAACCTGAAGCATCTCCTCAAACTATGATTACATTAGCACCAATGTGGGGAGTACCTGACCAAGGACCAGGTTTCCAAATCACGGTTAATCTAGGCAACCCGCTTATTGTTCCAAAACTCAGTAAGCTTCCTGGCCAGGCACCTATCCTTCCACTCCAGCTTCTATAATTGACCCATGGCTGGTGCAGAACCAGGTCAAGTCATTCCCGCTGTGATCCCTCTTTGTAAAAGGCCGACGCAGAACAAGCTGGTGGACAAACACTCCCTTGGACACATATTCTCCTCGGACAAGGGGCCTTAGCAAATCTTGAAAGAATGCTGACTAACAGTCATGTTTGTACTTCTGGAACAAGTTTTTTTTTTTTTTTTAATTATTATTCCTTACTCCACAGTCTACAAGGCAGACATTCACAGAATTCCACATATAAAAGTGCTCTGTTGTTAACAATGGACACTTGTTCACTACGTTCAATTACAGTCTCTTTTTCGTTTTACATTTGCATTGCTTTATCATGATCCTCATTTCGTTTGAGCACAGCCGTTTCTGTACAATAGTATCTTTTCATATGAACAATATAATACACTTGAATGCAGTGCAATAGGGCAATATTTCATTTTAGCACGTGAGGGGAGATTTTTTATAAAAAAAAAAAAAAAAGTTAATGCAGTGCAGATTCGTCTGCATCTTTGTGAGCATGTACGTGGCTGCAAGTTAGACTTAACGGGAATAAGGCGATCAAGGTGGAAGATTGTGCAAACGCATCATTCAAACACATGAATGTCAGTGAATTTGTTCACTTCAAAATCCCTCCCGGGGCACCTTTTCCAAAACTGATAGTGGTCATGCAGGTGATCTTTCCAGAGGCCCCGGCAAGCTGCACTTTCTATACTCTTCAGTGTGGTGACGGTACGTGGGGCCAAGAGTCTGAATGGTGGGAAAAGCACAGCAGAGCGTGACCTTACGTCAATGCGGCTGTCCTCAATATACCAGAAGAGTCATCCCCATCTTGGCCTTCACTGTTTCTTTTTTAACCTGTGACAAGGCCTTTGAACAATGCCCAAGTAAATTTACACCTCCTTCTAAGCTCAGTCGCACCAATTCCGTTTAAACGTGTTATCTTCTCAAGGACGTTTAAACAGAAGCATTAGTCTGACCCAAATACGTGACATGGTTCCATTAAAGCACACAGTAGATTTACAGTATAATGTCAATAACACTGATCATTTCATTCCAGCAAACCCTTAGTTCCCAGTGCTTCAAGAATTCACAGCATCTCCCCTTTAATTTGCCTGTGAGACTCATGGAAGAACAATGTTTTTTTTTTTTACTTTTTGGCCCTCAGTCTCGGGCAACGAGGTGGCCACCTCCCCCAGTTGACCTGGTTCCTCAGCCTGTGGTTCTGCCTAGTCAGAAGTGGGTCTCTGACATGAAGTCTTTGCCGTTTCTAGAAGGGGAGTGGCTTTCTATTAGCTCAGAGTCACTGGGGTCCTTGCTAGAGAGAGGGAAGTCTGTGCGTAGCACGCTGTCCTGCTTGGCATGGGATTTGCCCGTGGCCAGGGACTTCTGGAAAGACTCAGAGGTGAAGTAGTAGACAACAGGGTCAAAGCAGCAGTTCAGTGTGGCTACACAGAGCGTGATGGGATAGAGCGTGCGGGCAAACTGCTCTATACTACAGCTGGCTAGTGCCTGCGTGCGCACCATGGCGTACAGGAACAGAATGGAGTTGTAGGGCACAAAGCAGACTACGAAGATAGCCACGTGCACCACAATCATGCGCAGGACACGCTCCTTGTTGGTACCTATCTGGCAGAGTGTGGCCGGCCTACGCAGTGTCCGGAGCACCATGGAGGAGCAGGCCAAGTTAAGCAGCAGAGGGATGAGGAACCCCACCACTTCGATGAAAATGGTGATCTTCGACAGGTAGGTCTTCCACGTCTTCTTGGAGAAGCCCTCAAAGCAGGTTGTGCTGGAGTTGGAGTTGGCACGGTTGGTGGTGGAGAAGAATGTGACGGTGATGCCGCCGCCCAGGATCAGGAGCCAGACGGCAGCGCAGACGATGGCCGCGTTCCGCCGCGTGCGTACCGAACGCGACCGGAATGGGTAAACAATGGCCAGGAAGCGGTCCACGCTTATGCACGTCAGAAAGAGCATGCTACCGTAGATGTTGGTGATGAAGGCAGTTCCAGACACCTTGCACAGCCAGTCTCCGAAGGGCCAGTGACGGTTGACATTGTAGAAGATTTTGAAAGGCAGGGTGAATACGAAGACTAAATCCGACACTGCCAGATTGGTCATGAAGAGTGTAGTCTCGTTGCGCATCTTCATGCGAAAGCAGAAGACGAACAGTGAGGCGCAGTTGGTTATCAGGCCCAGCACAAACACAATACTGTACACAACGCCATACAGGTTGTACTTGAAGGAGTCATCAATGCCGCAATCCTCCATACTGCTCTCATTGTATACCAGGCTTGACATGTTGGGCCCGCTAAGGTCAAGCCAAAGGAATGGGAGAAGTTGAGAGACTAGGCCTAGGTCAAACTCTCAGCTCTCAACAACTTAGGCCCCCGTAGTTCCCCTGTGTATCCATCACGGCCATGAAGCCAAAGTGGTGCTTGTGCGTTGCTCACAGGCTGACACAGTTTGATAGCACCGGTGGGCCGTTCTCAGTTTCCTGCAGTGGGGAGAGAAGGCAGCTGGGTTAGCAAACTAGCACAGCTTAGACGTTTCACCTGTCGCGGTCTGTCAGAAGTGGCTCCAGCCAGCTTTGGCGGCCTTCTGCTTTGTAACATTGCGACCCGTGAGCCTTATTCATACCTACGGACCTCTCTCTGCTCTGAGAGCTCCCTATCAACAGCATGCAATCTCACACACGTGGCTTTACCAAAAATAGTAGCAAGCATGAGGCTGAAACACACCTCACTACTTGCTGACTTTGAGAAAGCTGGCGTTTTGCACCTGACTGGTATCTCCCCACCTATGATGGCCTGACTTCCTCTTGTCAACCGTCTATTTGTGCGCGCACACACACACACACACATATTATTTTCAATATGTGTAGAGAGCCTGCAGGGGCACCAACACAACCAATGGCTTGGACTTCTGCCTAGACTAGACCTCTGTCTCTGTTCAAAGTGCTTACAGCAAGATTTTGACATGTATAAGAATAGCAACTCCTCTCCATTTCAATGGGTCGTTTCCCTTGAAATGGGGGCCATTTCATTCGAACTGCCAAATGTCAGGACAGTGCAGCAAGCAAAACTTCTGATGCATTTCCTCCACAGCCACTAAAGGGTGTCTTCTGGACATTCCTCTAAGTGCGGCTCGTGATAAGGATATCATTAAGCTAACACTCCAGTGGACAGAAATGAGTCTCTGCAGAGCTGGTTATGTGACGATGGAAGTTGAAGTGCCGGTCAGTCCCTGCCCAAGACCAGGTGCAGAGAGCGACGGAGCGGAACCCGTCAGCCTAGTCCAAGGCCCACAGCCCATCGCTCTTTCCCACATGTGCAGGGTGAGGGAAATGGACTGAAGCCGTACGGTTCCTTCCCAGATCAGATGACTCGTGCTAATATGCTCCTGCTTTTGCTCTGAGAAAAACAACAGTTGTTTTCCCTCGGACATCAGCCTGCAAGCTATGCAGCTGTCCCACCTTTCGGGCTGTGGGGGGTGGGTTTGAACAGAACAACGGGGGTGGGGGCTGCACGAACGGGAGGACAGTTTGGCAGCAGGACCTTCATACTCTTTGTGGGAAAAGTGCAGTGGGCTTTCCCATGTGTTCAGGTGTGGAAGTACAGTACTGTGTAAAAGCCTTGGGCAGTCGAAGAAAATTGTTTAAATGATCTTCATGTTGGTGTAAAACTATAATGATATTTCTTTAAAAGAGCATTAGCTTACCATCTCAAAACCTCTCCAAAAGTCTGTGTTTGCAGTGACCACTGAATGTATCCAGGTATTTGTTGAATCGACCACTAGCATAACTTGTTTGGCTAATCAATACATCAAATGATTTAACTGATATAAATTTAATTAAATGATGAGCTATTGGTGACATTTAACAAATATAAATAATTGCTGAGGTGTGCCAGTGGACTGAGGTTTGGGAACTGAAGCAGTGTTCTAGCCATACAACATGATGAGTAACGTATTGGAAATATACACGTCATACTCAGATAAATATAAAGGTTTAAAGATTTTCTATCACTGCTTAATACAGGGTTGAACTTTGGTCAGCTGGCTGGAGTAAGATTTTCAATTTGAGACAAGTCTGCACACGCATTTACACGTATATAAAAGTTTTATTCCGTTGTAAATAGTCTGTGGGGTTTGCATTTTGCAAACCACCCCAACGCTTTTGATGTAGCTAATTTTAGGCTTATAATGGAATAATATATATTTGCTGCAAGATTTCTCACGTGAGCGTGAGAGTCTGAAAGCGTGAGTGTCACGCCAGATGCACAAGAGTTGGCGCCTCTGCTGATACTTTTGCACAGTACTGTATAATATCACATAGTTTAGTAATTTGGCACTTAAATGTCCTGGCAGGCCTGAATCCTCAGAAATAAATACTCTGTGTACCATGTTAGCAATTTCTGCTGATGCTTAGCCACTAAAATGTGATCAGAGACGCATCGGGATAAGATGCTGACCATGGTGCACAGCGCCATATTCTGTACAGCGCAGGGTTAACATTCCCAGTTAGCGTCCCAGCCACACCCTGCCTGGCCTCGCAGTGCCAGCTGCGCTGTCATCAAAACCCAGCTGTATGCATTAGCAACTCAAGCTACAGAACTTCTGTTGTCATGGTGCTGTGACTACAGAGTTCTCCTTAGGGCATTGTGTTTTGTGCCATTTCAAAGGGATCCCACAGTTCAGTCGTGAAATACTCTTTACTGTACTGGCTAGCTAATGGTCTCCAGTAAATGTATGTTAATTGGTTTCCACCTGTGCTGGTTGTTAACTGACTATTCTCTACAGACCGGCTACAACTTAGGCAGGCAGTGATTAAATTTATATCTTATTCATTTTTAGTAGTTTCATACCTTATTTTATGTTGATTGTTGCTTTGACAGTTTTATTTTTATTTTCCGATTTTATTTTCACGTATTTTATTGTCCAAACACCTTTTAAATCATGTTAAGCAGCTGGCCAGTCTCCTAAGAATCCCCCCCTCCCCCGCCCAGTAATGAGCATTGGACTCTCTTTATGTAAAGCCGGAGACCATGTGAGGGCCATGTGACACAGAAAATAATCTGATAAACAGCCGTGTCCACCATGGGTGGTCAGGCCTCCTGCCTTGTATGACACCAAACTGGGCTTCCTCACCAGCAAGGGAAGCTTACCGTGAGCTATGGGGCTCAGGGTCACATCTGTACACCGCTGTGTGGTTTACCTGCTAGTCCCACCCACTGCAGCAGGCCATCCCGGAGAGGGAGCGCCGCTTTGATGCATCTGTGGTCCTTCACACTCCGCAACGCCCACAACATCACTCTTATACTGCATGGCCGTAGCTGGCCTGCTCACAATACAACAACTGTACAGGGCAGCTCCTAGTGGGCCGACTTTTCCTCTGTCCGCCCACATCCCGTCGGAGGCTGCTACACGCTCCGCAGGCAGTCCCTGACGGAGCATCCAGGGTGCACCGCCTCCGCCCCAAAACGTCACCGGCGGCATGTAACCCTTACCGACCGTTCCTCACGCGGGGAACATAAAGTCAGTTAACAGAGAGTCAGCGCAAGTTTGCAAATTTGTTTATTCACAACGAGCTGTTAACCTCAAATCAATGTCACAGACAGCAGAAATAGGTTATAGCCTTTCAGGATTTCAGTCTATTTTTTTTGTGTCTGTGTGTTTTATGTCCTGTGTAGCAGGCCGCCATTAAAATGACAGGGAACAGGACAATATGCAGCAGATATTGGTCGTGAGGTTTTTCCTCAAACCAATAGGTGTTCATCTGATGTTATGCGGTCCTTAACACACGGCACTTAATGGTGAAATCGACAAGGGTACAAATTAGGGTTTCATTAACTGACATGGCAGGCCAGACTCACCTAACCCCCACTGAGATTGAGACATGAATTCATTCCCCCACCAGAGACTAATATTCTCCTTGGGGGGGGGGGGTCCTTGTAAAAGCCACATGATCTCTACAAATGGTTTCATTTTGACGAACAGCTGCAGCTCCACAGTAATTGAGTTTTAGGTAATTCATAGGGACAACATTCACTATTAAATCCACGATCTGTAATCCCTGTATCGAATTCCGCGGAAAAGCAGCTGTTCTGTTCTTTCACCTTCAGTCAGCCTGTTTATTACAAGCAGAGAGGAGCGATTCCGCGATAGTACAAAGCAACTTGAAAAATGCATGCCAGGATTAGGCAAGTGAAGTTTCGTCTTGCGGTTCCCTAGACTTGCCTTATAAAACATATGGCCGACATGAGTAATTAGGGTTTATTCGCTTTTGATAAAATTGGCAACATGTGAGAAGTTACGCTGCTTTGTTCGCAAATCACCCTCAGAGGTCCTTAGTCTAATCTGTATTACGGTTTATAAAAAGCACACGTTTCTGCAAAGGCATACACATCGATGCGCTCAAACCAATACAAGCATATGTCTAAATATATACATAACCAGCAGACAAAGGATCGTGTGTATACGCAAATACACGCATGCGGTAACGAGTACACAATTCCAAGTAATCAATTTGAAAGCTGCAATTAAAAGATGCGTATAAATACGTTCTATCGGTTTAACATATGTAACCCTTGTGAGTTTCAGGGTAATAATACTTACTCGGTTTTTTGGTGGCCTCGCTAATCTGTCAGTTGAACGCAAGCTTCATCCTATAGCTGCAAACGTGTTTAGTTTAAAACTTCGCAGTGACAGTAAAGTCCGCCTTTTGACATTTTCCTCAGTGGCAAGGCAGGGGGGGAAGTTATTAAAAGAAAATCAATGTGAAATGTACCTGAAAGGCGTCGTATTCCCAAAACACTTTTCTCAAGTTAAAGTCTCCGCTTCGCCACAGACGCGAGTGAAAAACGATCCCGACGCCGCGACATCGTGAAGCCGCAGGCTCGTGTGAGGAAATCTGCTTTAAAATGGAAAGAGCAGGAGGGAGAGAGAGAGAAAAAACGAGTTTGCACTGCACAGGAAAAAAGACAATAGCACCTCGATCTTTGCCGGAGAAGAGAGCGAGGAGAGATTGAGCGTGAATGGGGGATTGTCGGGAAGGCTCGGGGAGGGGGGAGGACTGGGGTGTCATCATCGGAGGAAGGCACCGCTACCAGATTGCCCGGCCGCCGATAACAAAGCATCCTTCTCCTTTCTTTAATACCCGTCAAATAAACGAGACCAGCAAGGTAATCCCCATTTAGTGTATGCCACTAAATTATCTACCATCGGTTTATTTTGTCTAAACGAAATGTATTTAAAATTTTAAAATGTATATTTGAGTTAATAATAAATTAAATGTATCATTATTTTTTTATTTTTTATTAAAGAGTCAAAAACATATAACAAGGTGACATCAAGTCGTTGGAAAGGAGAGATAGAACAGAAGAAAGACAGGAAACAAATCAGAGAAGTCTATTCAAAAGCTGTACGTTAATTGTTATGCATATTTTTAATGAATCTTTTGCTTCACACGTTTATTCAATCTCACACTATTAATAAACCCATGTGAGTACGTGTGATATCAAAGTGTCCTATAAATATCCCCTTCTGGTTTATTTTTTTCTTCCTCTCTGTGTGAAGGGCTGTACGCGTCTGTGGAGCGCCCCAGTCATGACAGAAGGGATGTTGTCCTTGAACTGGGGTCCCAGACGAGTAGTACCCCGCACAATAGCGTGAAGAGAACACAGGACATCCTGCTCTCCATGTACCTCCAGGCAGCCTGAAAACATGGCTTTCCTGCAGTGTTCCTGCACCCCCCAACCAGACCTCCACCCAGCCTGACCCCACCCCTGCCTCAGGCCCACATACTTCTTAATGAGAGAAGATAGATTCTTGTCTGGCACAATAGGGTGACTTTGGTTTATTATCAGCTATAGTCAGCAGATTGCTTGTGGACGATGCCTGGACATGCTTTTAGGGTGGTGCAGTGGTTAACGACGCGGATTCCTAGAAGGCTGAAGCCCCAAGAGGCTCTGCTGTCCTGCTCTAGAGAAGGTTCTTCAGCTGAAGCTCCGTAGTGGAAAATCTATCTGGATAAATCCGTTTAAAGAGCAGCTTGGGGCATATGCAATATTTAAAATCTGTCACCTCAGAGAAGAAGCAGGTCTTTACATTCAGATCGAGTCCATGAAAATCTGATTATCAAGACTTCGCTGCCAAAATCAATATCAATGGGCCTTGGCTGCTCACGTAAGTAAGACAGCCCCCCCGTTCCCCGTCCCCCTCCCCGCAACACTCCTCAGGAGGGTCGCTGTGATCAGCTTTGCCTGGGCTGTGGGTGAACACAGTGTTCTGCTGATTCTTTGTGGTGTTGCATTCTTCTAATTAGTTACAGTAGGCTTTGCTGCATTGTACAGCTACATGGCCCGCATTTAATAATATTTCCTGGCCAGTGCTTGTTTATTCTGCTGGTCTTCGATTTAAGCCTTTGAATGATCGCAGTTATTGGAGCTGGCGGCGAATGTTGTGGCAAACTGTCAGCTCTGTGCCCTTGGGACACTTCGAAACACTTGTGGAGCACATTTGTCAAAGGCACTATGTTCCAGTGATGGACAGTTCATACAAGCAGGCACTGAGGTCAAACAGCGCCAACCCTGGCAGGCAGGGGGAACTGCAGCAGCCTAAACAACCTCTCTCGCAATCCGTAATTACATGTTGTAATGAGTAGCGAGCGGGGATGGATGGCGGAGGTTGACGTAGATGTGCCATGCATGCAGGGTCACTCCTGGGGAGGTCATGGCCCAGTGCTGCTTCCAGCGTGACAGATGAACACTGAGGAGTGGAACCTTGAGGAGAAACATCCCAGATCCCAGCTCTGGCATACGGGAGAGAAGAACAAAGGATGTTAAGCACCCCATAAATTACTCCTGGGATTCTGCTTGAATCCAACTACAAAACATGGGGTTTTAGGAGCTCAGCCTTTTTAAATTCAGCCCCTGAGCCACCTCCGGAACGCTGGGCATTCCTGTCAGGAGGAGGCAGAGGCTAGGATTTTGCTGCCTGAAGACAAGAATCTTCAAGCAAACAAATCATTTGGTGAAGAACAAGATCATAGCTGTGACTTCCTCACGGCCTCCTGGGGCCTCCGATGTGTCTCTTGTCTCCGTTCGTCTTCCTCTGTGCCTTATGTAATTGCATTTAAAAAATGACTGCCAGCTTGCAAAAAAAGTGCAGCGGACTCTCAGGAAACTGTGAGATATGTCATGTTTTTATACACCACAAAAATGGTATCTATGAAGCCCCTGTTTATAATGCATCACACATATCTTCAAAATGCATTATAAGGCATTCATAAAGTATCATAAACATGGCTATAAATATTAAATAATATAAATTGGATAAAATGGTCAGTATAAGTGTTAAGGATGCTTTACCGCATTATGAAGGTATCTATAGTGCATTATAGATGAGAGCTTCATGAGTCATAATGCATAATAAACATGGTTATAATGTGTTATGCTTTTCTATAAATAATTATAGCTATGTATATCTATAATGCATTATACATGAGTGCTTTAAGTAAAATGTTACTGACATTATTTTTATGTACAACAAGGCTAGATAGAAGACAATAAAAATATATCAGGTGACTAATATATTATACATAATATATTTTATGAGTAATCCGTGAGTGACGGTTATTTCATGAGCAGATCTATGGTATAAATATCCTCCTTTCCTGTCATAAATATAATCAGCTCACACACTTATTGTCACATGTTAAATATTTATAGCCCCCCCCCCCCCCCCCCGACTTGTTTGTGTTTTTTGTTTATGCTTCTTGTTTTTGTTTCTCAGTTTTAGTTAGATTTGCTTGTTTTAACCGATCCAATCTGCACTGGCCTTGTCACTTGAAAAACGAAAAAGTACACCGAAGATTCGTTTTTTGGAGCTTTGCAGCTGAAATATCGCACCCCCCCCCCCCTCCATTTGTATTAAACGACGATTTGCATGAGAAGACAGGAAAACGTGACCTTTGTCACAACTGTAGCATTATCAGGGCAACTAGCTGTAGTTATGCACAGAAATGGCCAGTTTACGAAAGCGAGGGGTAATTGATCTCTCCTGCTGAATGTCCTTCTTCCTGCATATTTACTAAGCTCATTGATTTCCTTTAGGTTGTGCAAGTATCTGAGCTCTGGGGGTCCGTAGCATTCATATAAATACTCGTTTCACAACGCAATTAAAAAAATGCATTTTACACCAGTCAGAATTTATGTTCCTTGTCTACTTGGCAGCTACACACTTGTTATGTATTATATATGTATCTTTTTGTATGATACTTTGGACCAAAACACCTGCCAAATAAAAAAAGAAAGAAAGAAGTTCCAGGTTTTATTGGGGAACTACATACCCATATTACATATGTGAAAATGTGTAAACTTTATTTTGCAGATATGTATTTTCTTACTGCGTTACCTTGCTAACCTAGCCTTCCGTGATGCTCATAGGCCCTGAAACTCCGCTGATGACTCATTCTTTGACAGGAAGTGTTTTTCATAAACAGTTATTATACATAAGTGGGGGGGGGGTGTTCATGTACAGTCCCCAAGCAAGGATGTGTGACAGAAATGGCGGGAGCATCAAATGTGCCCTATTACACGGCCGATGCGGTCCAGTTCGATAGGTCGTGCTGCAGTGGGGGCGAGGCGACACGGGCCAATCCTCTCGTGTCAGACCATCATAAATAAAGACTCCTATTTAAAACCCATCTTGCCTTTTCTGTGTGAATCCTTTTGTACTGTATAAAATCCTCCTCTTTTTACTATCTTTGTTTGTGGAGGTCTCAGCTGCCAGGTCCCCTCTGCACCAGGCACAAGAGTTAATAGGAGTGTGTCTCCAGGCAGCTCCCTGGACGCCTCTATCAGCTGCCAAATCCATTCACTGGGCTCCGAGGTGCCCCACGTTCCGTGCATATTTGCCTCCAGACAACGTCTCTTGAGCGAAGGGGCGATAGTCACACTCTCCCAGGCTTCTAAAGCTTAACATTCAAAGTCAGCCGAAGTCCCGGTTCGCTGTCTTTGTGCTGGACGTCCCGGCTGAAGGACTGATGGCGATTGGTGCTGTTTCTCGCTTTTCATGTCGAAGGGTATAAATTTATCCCTCTGGCTATCATTAAAAGGAAGTTTCAAATGAAGCTCGCTTCGAATGTTTTACTGCTATCTTTTACCCTGCTTTAAGTAGTTAGTCTCATCAGCTAAACTGAGCTCAGCCAGTAACCAGTTATATTTAATAGCTATATTTCAAATGACCAAAAATGGATCAGTGTTTGATCTTCTCATACATTACACGGCCACTCCATTTCTTCATCCGCCTTCAAAATCATTCTGAGCTTCTGGCCAGTAAAAAAATAAAAGACTGTTGCTGTTTCAAATGCAAACACGATGGCTTGGGTCCATGTTTACCTTCATGTTTAGTCACTTTGATCCTGTTTATAATGTTGGCCATCTAATATAGGGATTCACCAACTGATAGATAGTTGTAGAGCAGCACATAAAAAAAATTGCATCTTTCGATTTTTTTCCCCGCTGAATCATGAGCACGGCGTCCTGATCTCTGGCTCCCAGTGATGGGCTTCTCTTCATTAGAGGGCCAAGCCGCTGAGTTCTGTCCTCAGAAAGCCAAAAAATGGGGCTGGTTCGCTGACATGACTGATCGGCGCTCAGATCCGGGAGGAAAGGAAAACAAGCTGGCGGTGAGGGACTGGATGGACGCGCCTCTGTACCCTCTGTAAACAGGGCCTGATGGCTTCCAGCTGTTGTCACGCTGACCCTCTTGAAGAGCAACCCACGCTTGTGTGTTTCTGTGTGTCTGTGAGTGTGTAGGGGGCTGAAGTGGGCCGGACACATGCGAGGAAGCCAGAAGGTCTAGGATCTAGATTCAAACGTTGTTGGGTGACACTTAAAGCAGTCAGCATAATGCATCATACATACCTTCATAATGCATAAGACATTCATGAAGCATTATAAACCAGGCTATAACTATTTATAAAAGGCATAACACATTATAGCCTTGTTTATTACGCATTATGAATGCTCTATGAAGCTATCATCTATAATGCACTATAAATACCTTCATCATGCAGTGCAAAGCATCCTTAATGTTTATACCGACCATTGTACTCAATTTATATTATTTAATATTTATAACCATGTTTATGATACTTCATGAATGCCTTATAATGCATTATGAAGATATGTGTGATGCATTATAAACAGGGGCTTCATAGAAAGTGTTACCCTTGGTTGTTTTTGAATATGGTAACTGGCGTGAGGCGCTTCATAAGGTTGAGTGCAAACTCCAGCTGCGAAACAAGTCCGTGCTGGAATAGAAACACGTCAATAAATCACCATGGAGTCTATAAAGCAAACAGATGATGTATTTTCTCTGCCGGCTGCAAAACACGGCCAGACACCTGCGCGGAGGGGTCAGTGGTCACTTGTGTGGCGATTTGACAACACGGAACGGACATGGGCCCTGGAGCCTCTCCAAAGGCTTCTATCTGGCTCCAGGGCGGAGAGCTTCTCCCCTGTCCCGCTGAGGGGCCGCAGAGAGAGGAAACACACATTTCTGGAGATTTGCTGTCTCAACTAAGAGAGCCTTTCAACTTCAAGTTTTCTTAGCTGCTCCTCCCTGTTCTACAGACATTTCAAAGCACATCAGGGTGAAAGGAGAACGTCTGGAGTGCAGAAGCCCTAAGAGTTAATGCAGGCATTGGCCACCAGATGGACAGCATGCTTAGAAGTACATGTCCCATCTCAGAAGCTCCATGGGAACTATTTGGTTGTTTATTTAGAGCAGAGAGCAAGCAGAAACACTTTGACCTGAGGCCTTCCTTAGCTTGATATGGTTTTGGGATTTTGTCCAAAGCTATGGAACCGATTCTTAGCTTAAAATGGTTACTCCTTGTCAGTGTTTACTTGCACAGTTAAAGTAAAATAAAGTAAAAGTGATTTTAACACCTTGATGTTTTCCTCTGCACCATCGTTGCCTTTCTTCCCAAGGGACCAACAGCGTCAGGCTTTCAGTCCACGTTCTGAGGTTCTGTGCCATTGCCACCATCCCCTCAGAGAAAAGTGGACCCAGTAAGCATGTGCACCCACACTTGCACCCACACACACACACATACACACACACACGCGTTTGTGCACCCAGCATCGATGGG